GCAAGCACTGACATACACAATCCTGGCAAAAAACATCTCCTGCAACACTGCTGGCTGGTAGCCATTTGGAAGATCGTTCACTCACCTCCGGGAAACTCACTAATATAGTGTTATATGATTTTACATTACAGAAGTTTGTTCAGAGAACCATGAGGATGATTGGACTCAACTGGAGGGTGAAAGAAAAACTGTTCTCACCACAGCGGGAGAGGCTTTGTCCGTGAAGCAACTGATCATCCGCCAAGCGCTGGCTTTTCTTTCAGGGCCACATATCCTGGCAATTGGAATAATAATATACTTCAAAAGTTCCTCAGACCACATAGTGCTCAATGATTGAAAGATTTATTGACATTGTGTTCATTCTCATTCTCAAATGTTGTATACTGTTATTTCCCAGTAATAAATAGTTCACAATTTCTCAGTTATCTCGGAGTTACTAAGTCACAATCTATTGGGAAAATTCATATTTTCAAGACTGAGGTGGATAGCTATTTGTTAGGTCAGAGTATGGGTCAAGGGTGGGTAATTGGACTTGAGGTACAGATCAGCCATGATCTTATAGAATGACGGAACAGGCTCGAGGTGTGAATGGTCTACTCCTGTTTCTATGAAATATGTGGGTAAACTAGTTAAAACAAATAGTCTAACAGCTGCCTGAAACTGTTACTATGTAAATCCTTCAATGTAGGTGTTATCTCACAGGAACCAGATGGGATACACTGGCCATCAGCGATCAAATTGAAAATATGATTTTTGTCAATATCTCGAACTCATGTCAGTACTTTACTCAATCAAAACACCACCGATAAACTGTTTTAATATACATACAACTTGTGGAGTTCTATACCATACTGGTTAGAGCACTCACTTGTAAGCGAGAGGACTCGGGTTTCATTCCTGGGCAAGGCAAAACCTTTGGCAAATTTCCTTACTCCGCACACCTCTATTTAGCGAGCAGTGAGTAGGAACCCGGTTGTTAGTCGATTGACGGATTGCTTTCTGGAGATAATCTCTGCAACGTGTGCAATAGCGTCAGGAACACCAGCTCTGTATTCGCTTCTCAACTCTCTGCGTGTACACAGCAACGAAAACCTATCCCAAGCATTACCAAACCGCTGTTTTATTACAGTGCATTACAACAACAAAATTACATTTGTAGAGCACCTTTCACGTTGGGAGGATGTCCCAAGGCACTGGACAGTCAGGGGTCAGGACCTGAGGATGGGTGGAGTAGGGTTGAGGGAAGGCAGAGAGATGGGAGGGTGACCAAAGGCACTATTGAAGAGGAGGAGGAGGATCAGCAACAGTCGCAAATAACCACTCGTGATACCCCGCAAGTGGAGTTGTGACTCAGTTTTCTGGCTGCTGGATCTCTACCTCGTAAACCCCTTTTAAAATGCAGTAGGGGTTGGCATGCGTTGGTTGTTTTTGACCAGATGTCACAAAGCCATTGTTTGTTGCATTATCTTAAACCACCGGTTTGCAGCGTCTAATTATTGTGCAGTGGTGTAGTCAATATCGAGGAGGCTGCATTCAGGGTAAGGCTACATTATAATGGCAAGCAACACAGTTTACTTGTGCTTAATTAGCCCCTAAGTGATGAAATAACAAATGCTTGTCTCTCCAGTTTGGGAGTATGTTTCCTCAAATAAGAGTGTTGTGTCCAGTTTTGATCACCCCACCTTAGGAGGATATCAGAGCCATATTTTGCCCACTAAATATACAGTATATTCTGTGAAGCGCTTTGAGACGTCTCAAAGATGTGATAAGGCGCTATATCAAATGCAAGGATTATTATTATTGTATTATATATAGGGAGATTTATCAGGATAATAATAATCCTTGCATTTGGTATAGCGGGTTTCACATCAGGAGGACGTCTCAAAGCGCTTCACAGGCTATATTGTTAAATGGAGTGACTGGGGTTCAGTGGGTGAATGTGAGTGGTTTGACCGATGAGCAGTGACTGGAGGAGCTAGGTCTATTTTTCCCTGCGTAGAGAAGGTTCAGGGCAGACCTGATAGAGGTCTTTAAAATGATGAGGGGTTTCGTTAGTCAAAAGGGACAAACTATTTCGCTGGTTGCTGAGCTAATGACTAGAGGCGTCATTTTAAAATGTTTAAACATTTGGTGACACTATTAGAAAATAGAATGGAATTTCTCCTGGTGTTCTTACCAACAATCAGATAATTACTCATTTACTTCATGGCTGTTTGTGGGACATGCCTGTCTGCGCATTGGTTGCTGTCTTTGCTTAAAAAATACACAGACCCTACACTTTGCAGTAAATATTGTGAAGCACTTTGATCCATCTTGATGATATGACGAGGTGTTGTGTCAAATGCAGGAATGGTTATGTAAGATTCATCCACTTATTGATCAGATCTGAGGGTTGAGCAAACCCAGTTGGGTCTGTGACATTCATGCATCCTCTGCCTCGCTTTGAAAGCTCCAGTAAATGCAGCCTGCTCACCCCATCTGCAATAGTCGTTGAAGCGAAAGGAAGTGCAGTATTTGAGGTCTGTGTCGTAAAATAAAACCACATTATAAAAAAAACAAACATCTGGTTAATAGGCATCCAACCGCGAGGAACAAATTTCAGTCAGTATGCTTCAGCACCATTCACATTGGATAATGCCTCAAAGTGCTTTACAATGACTGGACACCAAGCAGGGGGTGGCAGAAGGGTTGAAGGAAGTACGAAGTGACCATAGGCATGGACCTGAAGCCTGAGAGAGGACGAAACGGAGGGGTAGAGGGAGGGAGGTCTAGAAGCGAGGGCAGTTGAAACTGAAAGCTCAGTGAGGGTGTGGTTGTCTGCTGAGTGGAGAGAACAAGCAGAGGAGCGGAGTAGGTGGTCTGAGAGATAGGGAGGTGCTACGGTGTTAAATGTTTGACATCATGTCGTCCTGTGGTTACATTTCCAAGACTGTCACATTAATCACTTTGCTGTGACTCGGTCCTGGAGCATTGAGATTCCCCACCAACAATAAATTGTATTTATATAGCGTCCTGCATGCACGAGTCTCAAATGTGTGAACTTGTGCATTGAAAACCAATGCTCACATGATGTGATCTGCAATGTTGGGGTACTAGATAGAGGCTTAAAACTCTGGTATGGAAGCTTCCCGTATCAAGGGGCAAGCACTGACATACACAATCCTGGCAAAAAACATCTCCTGCAACACTGCTGGCTGGTAGCCATTTGGAAGATCGTTCACTCACCTCCGGGAAACTCACTAATATAGTGTTATATGATTTTACATTACAGAAGTTTGTTCAGAGAACCATGAGGATGATTGGACTCAACTGGAGGGTGAAAGAAAAACTGTTCTCACCACAGCGGGAGAGGCTTTGTCCGTGAAGCAACTGATCATCCGCCAAGCGCTGGCTTTTCTTTCAGGGCCACATATCCTGGCAATTGGAATAATAATATACTTCAAAAGTTCCTCAGACCACATAGTGCTCAATGATTGAAAGATTTATTGACATTGTGTTCATTCTCATTCTCAAATGTTGTATACTGTTATTTCCCAGTAATAAATAGTTCACAATTTCTCAGTTATCTCGGAGTTACTAAGTCACAATCTATTGGGAAAATTCATATTTTCAAGACTGAGGTGGATAGCTATTTGTTAGGTCAGAGTATGGGTCAAGGGTGGGTAATTGGACTTGAGGTACAGATCAGCCATGATCTTATAGAATGACGGAACAGGCTCGAGGTGTGAATGGTCTACTCCTGTTTCTATGAAATATGTGGGTAAACTAGTTAAAACAAATAGTCTAACAGCTGCCTGAAACTGTTACTATGTAAATCCTTCAATGTAGGTGTTATCTCACAGGAACCAGATGGGATACACTGGCCATCAGCGATCAAATTGAAAATATGATTTTTGTCAATATCTCGAACTCATGTCAGTACTTTACTCAATCAAAACACCACCGATAAACTGTTTTAATATACATACAACTTGTGGAGTTCTATACCATACTGGTTAGAGCACTCACTTGTAAGCGAGAGGACTCGGGTTTCATTCCTGGGCAAGGCAAAACCTTTGGCAAATTTCCTTACTCCGCACACCTCTATTTAGCGAGCAGTGAGTAGGAACCCGGTTGTTAGTCGATTGACGGATTGCTTTCTGGAGATAATCTCTGCAACGTGTGCAATAGCGTCAGGAACACCAGCTCTGTATTCGCTTCTCAACTCTCTGCGTGTACACAGCAACGAAAACCTATCCCAAGCATTACCAAACCGCTGTTTTATTACAGTGCATTACAACAACAAAATTACATTTGTAGAGCACCTTTCACGTTGGGAGGATGTCCCAAGGCACTGGACAGTCAGGGGTCAGGACCTGAGGATGGGTGGAGTAGGGTTGAGGGAAGGCAGAGAGATGGGAGGGTGACCAAAGGCACTATTGAAGAGGAGGATCTGGAGACCGGCCTTGAAGGAGGCAAGGGAGGAAGTGAGGCAAAGGGACTGTGGGATGGAGTTCCAGAGTGTGGGGGCAGAGAGGCTGAAAGCCCGGCCACCAATGGAAGGGCGGGTCGGGCGGGAGACATGGAGCAGGCCAGAGCCCACTGAATGGAGGGAGTGGGCAGATTGGTAGGGAGTCAGCAGATCAGAGAGGGAAGAGAGGGCAAGGCCATAGATAGCCTTAAAGTTGAAGACGAGGATCTTGAATTCGATCCTCTGAGGGATGGAGAGCCAGTGGAGTCGGTCGAGGGTGGGAGTGATGGGGTCACGGAGCCTGGTGCGTGAGAGTATATGAGCTGCAGAGTTTTGGATGATCTGCAGCTTGCAAAGGGAAGAGTTGAGAAGGCCGATGAGGAGGAAATTTCCATAATCGAGCCTTGATGTGACGAATGCGTGGGTGAGGGTTTGGGCAGCCTGAGGGGTGAGGCAGTGGCAGAGTCTGGCAATGTTGCGGAGGTGGTGGTACGCAGTGCCGGTCATGGCGCGGATGTGGGGGAGAAAGGACAGTTCGGGGTCAAACAAGACACTCGGGTTCTAGAGTGGTTTAGTGAGGTTGAGTGTGCAGCCGTGGAGGCCGATGCTGCCGGCACCCGACGTGCGGAGGCGCTGACGCGAGCCAATCAGGAGGGCCTCGGTCTTGCTGACGTTGAGTTGGAGAAAATTATCCCTCGTCCAGTACTTGATGACGGACAGGCAGTGCGAGTGTTCTAACCACTGATCTACAGGACTCCTAAATCAACAACAACAACTTGCATTTTTATAGCACCCTGCACTCCGAATGACATCTCAGAGATCCAATACTTTGGAGATAGCATTTGTCAACTTCAAAAATGTATTCACAAAGGAATGAATCCTGTTGTTAGCACCACTTACACTGACTCAGCCTATACATTGCTGGATGCAGTGGAGCAGCACAGTAAAATGAGAGGCTCCATTCTGCAGTCACAAGATGAACATTTTACATCAGTCTCCATTTCTCCTTAATCCAGTCAAAGTAAGGCACTGTCCACAGGTTGGGACCAAAATAATAATTGCTGCACTGACGTAGCACCTTTTCAAGCACGGTGATGGTTTTCCACGTGTGTCAGGCACCTGGCTGACCAATAAAGTGAGTTTCATGTCAGGACGGTATATTTGAGTAGATAGCCCACTATGACCAGACGATCCATTCTTTAGACTCGTACTATCAGGCCTAAATACTCAAATGAACATTAAAACAGATCGGATTAAACGCACGGTGTAGCGCAGCAGTTTATCCTCTTGATGTCTTTCGATGGGGAAGAAGTTACATCTGATCATAAAAGTGAACAACTACTCCGAGAGCAAGCACCACCAAGCCGGCTAGTAAAGCCAGCCCACGGCGAACGATCAGTTGTCTGGTTGACAGAACCTCACCAGATGGGCAACAATCCTCTTTCGTTATCAGTGTCGTGCACTCCTGCTGATTGCCTTCATTCAGGGTCTGTGTAGATGCCGAGCCCTGGTCATAACTGTCAGTAAGTTCTGAAACAGAAATACAGAAGCTAAGACAACAACTTGCAGTTAGGTAAGCGCCCTTCATGGAGGATAACATCTCGGAGTGCTTCACAAAGACGGGGTCGTATGCTGAGCAAGGGAGAAGGGAGAGGGAGACACTCCACAAGAAGGAAGGATCAATAACAACACGGGTACAATTCGATTCGGAACAAAATCTTTTATTTTATACTGGCTGTTGGACATCTGCTTAAATCTGGTTGAAGCTACCTTTATACCTGTGAGCAATTGGCTACTGTGTTTCACCCACAAAATATGCAGTCAATACACTTTACAGTATACTCTGTGAAGCGCTTTGAGACGCCTCGAAGATGTAATAAGGCATATCAAATGCAAGGATTATTATTAATATTATAACTTACCTGCGCTGTTGACATGTGAAAGGGGACAAGGAAAAGGGGGAAGGAAAGACAGAGACACGGATCACTTAATGTATTGCCAAAGTGCATCTCTTGGTGACAACCAAATTAGCAACATTAATTATCTTTATGTTGAGCTACGCAGCCAATCAGTTTCTCTCCCCCCCCCAAAACCCCCACTGCCACCATGAAGATGACAATGGAAATAAATAATTATGTAATAAATGTAAATAAATGATGGGGAGAGAACAGGGGAGTGGGATTAATTGGATAGCTCTTTCAAAGAGCCGGCAAAGGCACGATAGGCAGAATGGCCTCCTTTCTGTGCTGTCAGATTCCATGATTATATTTTATAAATATGTTGACTTGGGCAGAGGGGGGCGGGGTTTGGGGCATTGGCGGAGGAGGGACGAATAGGGCAATTGAAAAACAATTGCAACAAGCTGAATTTGCTTGTGTAGAGTAAACGTAGCTTCAGACTCGAGTGAAATCCATTTGTGCTCTTACCATGGGCAGTGGCATCAAAGTGACTGTCTGTGGAGACTTCCTTCATCTTCCCCAGGGCAGCTCGCTCCTGAGCCTGAAAAAGAATTCATTTGCAGTTAATAACTCATTTCCTTCTTTCCACCATCGATGTAGATTGCTGCCAGGAGAAGCGAAAAACAGCAGCAAAAATTAGACAAAACACAAAATACTGCAGATGCTGGAAATCTGAAATAAAAACAGAAGTCGCTGGGAACACTCAGCAGGTCAACTGGGTTTGCACTCTAAACACTAAGCTACAGGATTCCATTGTCCGCTGTCATACCTCCACCACTGGATAAAACGCAGAGGAAGGCAATTAGAGGAGAAAGAGCACGGAATTGGGATTGTTTCTTAGAGGAACAAACTCCCACACAAAAAAGTGGGCTGAACAGCCCCCCAACTGTGCGGTACATTTCTATGGCTCCATGAAACGCAAAGTCTAGCTTCAAACCTGTGAGATATTGTCTCTCGAGCAGCATGATAGAGGGCTCATGGTGCCCAATGAACTATTTTCCAGGACGAGTCACTGCTTTCGAGAGGAGAAAAGGAAGAACTTTGGGGATGAGGTGGAACAAAAGAGAATGAGTTGAAGAGTGCAGCAAGCTGGAGCTCCAAAACACTGTGGCAAATGAAATGGGTTTATGATGCTGATTATTCATGAAGAAAGATTCCAAACCCAATGCAAGACTCTGTGTACTAGCAAGGTACTTCCCTTCAGGGATGGAGAGATGATCATTAAGCAGACACCGATCATTCATACACATTTCTCAACTCCTGGATTAAGAGTTGCATTGGAAAAGATCTAGGTAGTGGAGAGCATGAGATCCTGAAGTGTCATTTAATATCCAGTAGAAATCTGGATCGCTCTCCCCCAAAATGCTGTGGATACTGGATCCATTCACATTTTCAAGATGAAGGTAGATAAATATTTGTTAAGTCAATGTTTTAAGGGATAACGGGGTAAGGGCAGGTAACTGGACTTGAGGTACAGATCAGCCATGATCATTTAAAATGGCGGAAACAGGCTCAAGGGGATGAATAGCCTACTCCTTGTTTCTATGTCTATGTATGTGATTCAAAAGTTAACTTATTTTGTGTCTCCTCCCACAGGAGTCCTCCCAGCTGAGTACAGATAAAGACGAAATGTCTGTCTGGGTGTCAATCTACATTCCATATTGGATGCTTTGGTTGCAAGTGAAGCTGCAATGGGTACAGCTAGTATATGTTAATATCTGATCTATGGGGCAGTGCATCAAACAGTGTTTACTGGTAAATAAACTCTTACTTCTTCCACCACGGCATTCCAGTTTAGTCTGAAGATCAGTGTCAAAAGAAAAACGGTGAGCAGAAAGGAACTGATGGCCAGTCCAGACCAAAAACCTGAAAACAACATGAAGAACATCAAACTCAACGCCCTATGGCTATGGGTCCAAGTGCTCTGGGCTACTACCCCGGGTGAAGGGCGCTATATAAATGCAAATTGTTGTGCAGCTCAGTAGCTCTCTTGCCTTGCAATTTCTCTCCCTATCTCCAAACCCTTTTAAAAACCTCTTTAATCTCTTTAACCCTGGCTTTTGGAGAATATTACCTGAACTTCAGTAGTTATTCTAACCATTCTAACCAGAGACTTCCTATAAAATGCTTAAACTCAATATAAATTGAATGGATGGTAGGTTCTTGATTTTCTATCTGCATTTCTTCCAACTCTCTTACTCAATAAGAGCCACAATCTTTAGAAAATATTTTAAACTGGGTCTTATATTTTAAACTAGGTCTTGTGTATTCTGCTTAAAGCTTAAGCCTCACATCAGTATTTGTGCTCTGGGATACTACCCTGCATGAGGGGTGCTATATAAATGCAAGTTGTTGTTGTTGTGAGTTTGTAGAATAATGTAGTTATCATGTGTCTTCTATTTATTACAATTAAATTTAAGCAGGCATCGAGGCACACAAAACACAAGTCCTCACCTAGTATTCCACATTTGGCAGCAAACATCAGGGAAATCCCAATGGGAAGCCCAATGACATAAAACGCAACGAGATTGGCAATGGCTCCAATCTTTTGCTTCCCAATTCCTCTCACAATACCACTACCTACTCCCTGTAGAGAAGTCAAAAGTTAGGTTTTGTTTTTGGAGGAGCAAGGTTACACTACATCTGAACATAATGAAAAGTGTAAGAAACAAATAGGTTCCTTGGGAGTGGATGGGGTGTATACATGTTCCTCTCCTTTATCTCCTGAGGGTGCTGAACCTGGGTGAGATACCATTCATTGGTAAAAGTGGAAAAAGACTAAACCCAATCACTGTTCTCATTCCTGATCACTGGTGGAAAGAGGAAACACTTGAAGTTGAATTATTGGTTGACTTTGGACCTGATGGTTCTGGGTTGAAATATCAATGGTCAGTCAACATAATCCTTTTTGATATCTATAAATGTAAATATCACTTTTTTTAAAAAAAAAGTATCTCGGGGTGGTGGGGGTGGTCAATCTCCCTTTTGGATTGAATTCATAATCCTTGCATTTAGCTTAGTGCCTTTTACGTCGGGAGGACTTCCCAAAGCACTTCACATCACTTATTATGAAGTGGAGTGACTGTACATTTTTAGGTGAACACAGCAGATCAATTGCATACAGCAATGTCCCACAAACAGCCATGAAGTGAGTGATGAATTTTATTTGGGGCTTTGTTGGCCAGGACACTGAGAGAACTCCTTTCTCTTTTTTTGAATAGTGTCATGGGATCATTAACATCCACCTAAACAGGCAGACGGGACCTCGGATTTAATGTTTCATCTGGAGGAGAACACCTCCGGCAATACAACATGCCCATAGCACTGCATTAGAGTGTCAGCATAGACTATGTGAGTTCAAGTCTCGACTTGGGGCTTGAACCCAAAACCTCTGACTCAGAGGTGAGAGTGCTACCGCTGAGCCAGGCTGACAAACAAATTGAAATTGGTCCAAGGAAGTACACCTGCTAAAGTCAGGCATGTCTTCAAGTAATCCCAGACATCACTGACGGTTGACCAGCTTGTCTTGGCAAATCAACGAGTTTATGAACTGTAGACATGTGCTCAATCTTGAGCCGAAACCAAAGATCTAACAGTTAAAGTGCTTGGAGTCAGTTGAGCATAGTGAAGGTCAGGCGTGGAAATTCAAACTGTGTGCTTACCATCATTATACTGCTGTGACGTGCACTTGGATGAGGTGGGTTTTGGGCTTTCCTATGGTTCTTTCTCCCCCGCCCCCAACTCCCACCCCCCTCCCCCCCCAGCCTGATTGCATCTGGGCTTTTACATGGAAATTGACCTCAGCACAAGGCAGCACCTTCAGGAGAGGAAAAGAGACAAAAAAAATACACATGGTGGCAAGATTGACAGCTGCCAATCATAAACAAAGCAGCATCACGCACATCTTTGTACATTCAGTGTGTGCGCGTGTGTGTGGGGGGGGAGGGTGGGGGGGCAATGTTGGCTAGACTTACAGTATACCAAGAACAACTGGGAAGGCAACTGGTGTGATTTTAATGCACTGGTGGCTCTTTTTCAGGCAAATGTGCTTCAAATACTTACTGAGGATAAAGCATCAAATAAATGGAATGGAGCGATAATTGGTATGATTTTTGAAACCAATTCACCAATTTGTCTGTTAAAAAAATAAAACAAATTAGTTCTATTTTCGTGCGCTTTACATCAAGATACACCTGTCAACAGCATGTGTCAAAACAAGGCTGTGCTGTGGGGAGGGAGGTTCAGTGAGTGACTAATGCCATCAGTGGGGTCAGACTGAACAGAATAGTCAGACATAGCAGACCAGCAATGAAGAGCTCAGGCCTGAATAATAATAATAATTTTGATCCGCATTTGATTTCGCACCTTATCACGTCTTCTAGACGTCTCAAAGTGCTTCACAGATGTACTGTAAAGTGAATCATGGTAAAGATACAATTCAATGACAGAATCACTGGGTATGAAATACCCTGCCAAGTACAGTGGCAGAGGTAGAGTCCATTGTGGGTTTTAAGAGGGAAGTAGGTAAGTATATGAAAGTTAGAGCCTTGAAGAGGGAATTGTGATAGAACAGGACAATGGGATTAAAAGAACATCTTTGCTCTTAGAGTCTGTACACACCTGAATGGTCATTCTATGGTAACGTTGTGCACTGACCTGTCGTTGGTGAAGAGCTTTGCCACATAGTCCTTAAGCACACCCAATATAGTGATGAGGAGCAGTGCTATACAACCTGTTAAAAAGTGACTTCATAAAACATTTGCATTGATCGGAATAAAATGATATATGGACATTTTCCCCTTTTCCCCCCACCCAAACAAATTTGTGGAGTCCTGTAGCTCAGTGGTTAGAGCACTCGCTTTGCAAGTGAGAGACCTGAGTTCAATTCCAGGCAGAGGGCGAAACCTTGGGCAAGTTTCCTTACCCCACACAGAGCCTAATAATAATCCCTCCAAAACAAAAAACAATAATAAATTGGTCATTTTCAATCTACGACTGTTTGTGGGACATTGCTGTGCGCAATTGGCTGCCGCGTTCGCCCACAAATATACAGTCAATTCACTTTAGTGTGTTCTGTGAAGCACTTTGGGACGTCCTCCCGACGTGAAAAGCGCTATACCAAATGCAAGGATTATTATTATTATTAAATAGAGTCACAGGAAAGGATGAGGAAACACAATTGTAATAAAATAATTATCTTTGCTTTTGATATAAAGTCTACATCTCAAACCAGGAAATCACTGTGAAGCGCAGCTTATCACATCGTCAGAGTTAAGTGGAAGCGCTTCACAGAAGGCTTTTACTGTGAAGTGTAATAGCAACAATAACAAAATTACATTTATAGAGCGCCTTTCACATTGGGAGGACGTAATGACTATATACTTGTAGGAAAAGCGTGAGCCAATTTGCTCATAGCAAGGTTCCCCTAAACAGCCGTGAAGCGAATGGCCAATTTTACCTGGTGCGTCGTCAGCCAAGGCTCAGGGAGAAAGTCCCTTCTCTTTTCAACTATAATCATGGAATCTTTAAAGTTGATCTAAACAGACTAGTTTAATTTCTCGTCCAAAGGACGGCACTTCCAACAATGCAGTGCTCTCCTAGTATTGCACTGGCTGACATAAATCCTGTAGTTCTGTAGCTCAGTGGTTAGAGCACTCGCCTCGCAAGCGAGAGACCTGGGTTTGATTCCCGGCAGGGCGAAACCTTCGGCAAGTTTCCTTACTCTACACGCCTGATAATAACCCCTCAAGAAAAAAAAACCAATAATAAATTGTCGCTCAATCCACGACTGTTTGTGAAATGCCGCTGTGCGCAACTGGCTGTCGGATTTTGCCCACAAAACAGAGTCAATTCACTTTACAGTATATTCTGTGAAGTGCTATGAGACGTCTCGAAGAGGCGCTGAGGCGCTATATCAAATGCAAGGATTATTATGGTTAGAAACCTTACAATTTACCAGTGCAGAATAGAGCAGTTACAGCTGAGGTCTTTGCTTGATGTGGATTTCCTCCTCCAAGTGCCATGCCCACACGGATTCCTGCTGCAGATCCAATCCCAATGTGAATCTAAAAATGGCGGGGGGGGGGGGGTGAGGGGGAAATGTTAATTTAAAAATACCCCAGCGTGGGCAAGAAATATCTCAATCAGTCACTGAGTCACAGAGATTCAAAACAAGGGAGGCACATTTATCCATCGATGGTATTTGATTGACGTGAAATGTGCTGCACTAAATACGTGGTGTATATTTTGAGACGGAGAGTCTGTAGTCTCAGCTTACCAGGATGAAAATCGTCAACACCTGGAAAATAACGGACTGGGCCCCAAGTTCAACTTGACTGATTAGTCCTGTGATCGAATGAGACAGACAGTCAGAATGTATCAAGGAAATAGAAGATGAAGCTCACAACTCAACCTCTGTCTGCAGCCAGAGCATTCGCGCATTCAACACGGATCAACAATGTTGATTAGCAGCACCTCCTTACACTCCTTGTACAATGTAAAATCTGCTGTCGTTGGTGAGACGAACTCGAGCGAGATCCTACCTCTAAAGGATTACCTGCCAGGAAAGATCCTATTTCGTACGCCCATAACTCCATACAAAACATTAACAGACTGGGAATGGCGAGTTGAAAGAAAGGACCCCATTCCTGGAGACACTCTGTAGTCCAACCTAATTGTAGAATGTGAAACACCTGGAATTAGCAGGGAAAAGAGACACAACACAGTAGATCTGTAAAGGATCAGGCCTCAGGCAAATTCCCTAAGGTTTGTTTACACCCACTCTTCCTTCTTTCCTTTTCACTCGTTTCTTAAAGCTAAGTGTGTCCAGGGTCCCGGCCTCTACCACGCTCCTGGATGTTGGTTAAGTGAGGAAGAATCCTGTGAAATCGAATGCTTTACACTCTACTTTCAGAGAGCTGACAAGACATCCAAGTTGGGTTGATGTGAGCCTGCCTCAGTCGGTAGCACTCTCTCCTCCGAATCAAAAGGTTGCTGCTTCAAGAGGTATATCGGGACTTTAAATTCACGTAATCTGGAGCTCACACTCCAATGCAGTGCTGGGGGGAGCTCTGCATTGTCAGAGGTTGTGTCCTTTGGGTGAAACCGAGATCTCATTTATGTGTTTAAAACGCTCAAGGCACTATTCAAGGAGAGAAGGGATTTTATCCTGGTTTACTGACCAACAATCCCCCAAGCAAAATTGGTCATTGACGTCATGGTTGTTAATAGGATATTGTGTGCACTATTTGGCTGCCGTGTTCACTCACAAATAATGAATCCTATGAAGAACTTTGAGACATCCCCTCCCCGACGTGAAAGGCGCTACATTAAACGCGAGGTTCTTTTTAAATTATTTTTAAAAAAATTATTATTATTATTCCAAAGTGACTCCAGGAGAGAAACCAAAAATTTCTTGCTCACCTTTGCTTCCCAACTTACCTGCCCAGGTGCTGAGATGGAGGTTTTTCCATCGAATATAGATGAAGAGTACAATGATCTGACAGTATTGAACAATAACATTGGCCCAAGCACAGCCTCTGGAAGAAAAACAGAGGCACCACTTCATCCCCGTGCAACACATCGCAAGCATTCAAACTCTCACAATTTCACTCAACTTGTAGGAGCCCTGGTCAACTAGTCTTAAATTTTACACGATAAACAGCATGAGGATGGAGATGTTAAGGTGCAATTACCGGTTATAATGCCAGCTAAAGGCAGCTTTGTAAGTTTCCAATACTGTATATTTGCACTGACGCACAGCAGTGGAGCTGGTGAGGTGCTGTCAAACTGTCGGTAATTGTCAGTAACGGTCGGTGAAGGGACTGGAGCATTTCTACTGATTCAACCAAGGAGAAATACACTGTATATGGGCCGGAGCATTGTCACATGACCTATATTAATCAGTTTATGTGTGTGGTGTGTGTGTTGTAGATGTGCGTGGGCGGCTTGTAGGTATGTGTGTTTTCTGTGTGTCCTCCCCTCCACCACCCCTCGCTCCCACCCCCCAGTTCAGGTGCTGAGCCATGTTTTGTGCATTGGGACGTCCTTCTGATGTGAAAGGAGCTACATAAATTTGTATTGGCACTGAATACACTACAACATGCCGGGGGCAAAGATGCTGTGGGCAAAGGTTTGAGGAACCAGAACTAACAAAGGCAGAGTCGGAAAGCCCAGCTCAGTGTAGTCTATCTGTGTGTTGGCAACAACAACAACTTGCATTTGTATAGAGCTCTTCACACCGGGCAGCATCTGAGCGCAGGACACTACAGGCCCTTCAATTAACTCTCATTTCGATACCCATTTTGTTTTACAAAAATATCAAATGTACCAAACCAAACGGACAAATGTCTTCAAACTGGAAGATTGCTGTGGAAATTTTTTTTAATATATTATTATTATATTACTCACGCCACTTCAAGCTTGAGCACAAACAGAAAGATATAGTGCATCAACACACTGAGGATGTTGGTCACCAACCCAGTGAGGACCTGTGGCTTGACTATTTCCTGCAAGTGATAGAATAATGCAAACAACTTACAATTGGTGAGCGTGAGAGAGAGAATAGAGAATCCTTCTATTAAGAATCCACTGACCTTCCCTCCCAAACACCAAATACTCTGTCCCACACCCTCTTATCCTGGGGGCCAAGATGCTGTGAGTAAAAGTTTGAGGGATCTGAACTAACAGCAAAGAGTCGCAATAGCTGGTTCGATGCAGTCTGGGTGTTGGCAGGACTCTACAGGCTTGACTCTTGTTTCAATATCCACCTTTTCAGAAAAATACGATGAACAGGACTTTCAGTCACTTTGTCCCCACTCTCTGGAACTCTATCCTTAAATCCCTTCTCATCACTCTCTCCCTCCCTCCCTCTCTCCCTCCCTCCCTCCTTTCAAATTCCATCCAAAAACCCACCTCTCGACTACTCTGCCATCTCCCATTCATGCTCAAGCTCCCATATCTCTGTATAGCACTTTTGAGACTTCCTCCTATCTCAGGGTAAGTTGCTGATGAATGATTAAATGAAAGTTAAATGAAAATTAAATGAAAGCCTCTGGTTACTTAGCAGTAAGTAGAAACCCGGTTGTTAGTCGATTAACGGATCACTTTCCGGGGGTAATAATCCCTCCAAAAAAAAAAATTGGTCACTCAATCCACGACTGTTTATGGGACATTGCTGTGTGCAATTGGCTGCCGCGATTCGCCCACAAAATACACAATCACTATACTTTACAGTATATTCTGTGAAGGGCTTTGAGACGACTGGAAGACATGATCAGGGGCTATATCAAATGCAAGGATTATTATTATTAAAGTTAATATTTTGACCGTGTATTTTCCTGATAAACTGTGGCAGTGAGAATACCTGATTTTGTAAGTATCGAATCTGCAGCTGGTATAAAAACAGGGCCTGGGGAGAAAAAGAATCAGAAACGCAGTTACTACACAATCCCAACAACACAGAACAAAAAGGACACAAGATTAGGGTTTCAAAGGGCAATTTCAGTCAGGCCCCAGGATTCTCTTTACCTGGAGGGGAATTAACAACGGGAACAGGTTGCCAGGAAGGGAGGCTGAGGCCAGGACTACAACAATTTACAGCTATGTGGCATCTTTCACATTAGGAGGATGTCTGAAAGCAATTTTCACTTTACAAAGCACTTCAAACGTAAATTTGGTGGGAAGCTGAAGTGGGAGCGTAGGAAAAGCAGTCTAAAAGATAAGTCTTAAGCGGGGTTTTAAATGTAGGTATGATGGGGGCTAGAGGGAGGGACTCTGGGATGGAGCTCCGGAGTATGGGTGCAGAATAATAATAATTATTATTCGTATTGCCTTTGAGACAATGCCTTATCACGTCTTCAAAACGTCTCAGAGCGTTTCACAGAATATACAGTAAAGTGTATGACTGTGTATTTTGTGGGTGAAATGTGGCAGCCAATTGCTCACAGCTGTGTCCCACAAACAGTCGTGGAGGGATTTTTTTTTGAAGGGATTATTACTCCCCTGGAAAGTAACCGGAAAGGGATTGTTACCCCACTTGAAAGCCAATCGACTAACAACCGGGCTCCTACTTGCTGCTAGGTCAACAGAGAAAAAATGCCTGAGGCAACAAACTGATGTTGTTGCTGACACCTGGATGTCAGTAATGGAGCAGGGCATTCTGTGGTCAATATGTAAACTGATGCTAGCGGGAATTTAAAAACAAAATGTAAAGCTGTAACTTGTAATCACAGCAAAAGAAAGAATGTTTTCTTACCAAAGGATGCCGTTAATATAATTATCTTGCTCCTTTAATTTCTGCGTGGTCAAACTCAATTTATTCATGGTATGTATATTGAGGAGAAATATAAATATAGTAAGTTACAGATGGCAAAATTATTCTCAACAAGCATGTGTGTGTGAACATCTGTCTGAGGGCTCACTGACTACAGAACAACTTCAGTGCATAATTGCGCACGTTTATTATTATATTATTAACTTGAGTCCAGGCTAGTGGTTAGCAGGATTCCAATGGGAAGCTGGTATGGTATTAAACTGGTATAGTATTAAACTAATATGGTATTAAACTGGTATGGTATTAAACTAGTATGGTATTAAACTAGTATGGTATTAAAATGCACAGACTTTAGGCAGGGCCAACTGCTCAACCAGAGAAAGCAAAATCTCCCTGAAAGAACTACCTCAAGCAGAAAAAAATATAGAATTAAAATGCAGAAAACGTATGATGAATGTAACCCAATTGGCATATTAACCCAAGTACGCATTTCACATGGGTATCAAAGTGCTGGGGTCCTGTAGTTCAGTGGTTACTCGCCTCGCAAGTCAGAGACTTGGGTTCAATTCCTGGCAGGGCGAAACGTTGGGCAAGTTTCCTTACTCCACATGCCTCTGTTTACCTAGCAGCAAGTAGGAAATTGGTTGTCAACTGGTGAATCGCTTTTCTGGGCATAATCATTCCTTNAAAAAAAATTGGTCACTTTTCATCCAGAAAATACAGTCAATTCACTTTACAGTATATTCTGTGACGCACTTTGAGACATTTCGAAGATGTCGTGAAGCGCAAAATCAAATGCAAGGATTATTATTATTAAATTCACAGGTTAGTATAGTTAGAACGGCTGAAAGGAGTCTGGACCCATTTTAAAAGAAAAAGCTTGATGCTGTGATGAGAGGGCAGTGGGTGAGGAGCAGATGCCGAAATTAACACTCACAGGAATTGCAGGAATAAATATCTTCACGTACAGCTGACATAACCTAGGCGAGAAATGGATATTTCATTATTCAGAATCGTGACATTTGCGCCAAAGTGTTGGTTTAGAAATATGTTATTTCTTACAGGACCTTAGGAAATCTACCGCACATTATATTATATTGTCAGTGTTTGTTCCTCCAATGAAACCGTCTTTCCTGATGGAGTGTCAATTCCCTGCTCTTTCCCCATTTCCTCAAATACCATCCTCTGATGTAATTATCCAACTACCTTTCAAACGTTACCAATGGATTCACCCCTGGCAATCCATTCTACCCTCTGGGAGATATTCTCATTTATGAATCATTGACTGAATATACCATGGTCACACCATTCAGCAGCGCTGAATGATTGCCACGCATTGTTGGAGCACAATGTCCAGCACAGACATCATGGGTTGAATGGCTTTCTTCTGTGCAGTAAATATCTACGGTTATATCCCCAGTCCAGTTAAATATAAATTTTTTTATTCCGGGGTTCGATCCAATCTTGCTTCACTCTCTTAGATATTTGTACTTTTTCTTTTTCCCCTCTATTCTCTCCCCCTCCCTGCCCTCCGTTCCACATTCCTGCCATTCCTGTGGTACTCACTTCTTGGGCAAAGCCCTGGAGGGCATCCAGCACCTATGACCGAGTGTATGGGTAAAAGAGCAGAAACAGTCGATCTCATTGTAATGTTACTGATGGGTCAAACCTGACCTGGACACCTCAGGATCCTGCTTGACAGCCAATAAGATCTTATCTGTGTTGATGAAGAGCGCCCAGCAAGGGAAGCAGAACATCATCAGGATAAGAATCCCTCGCTGGAGAATCACCCCAATCTGCTTCAGGTTCCTGCCTCCGTACATCTGAAACCAGATGGAAACAAGATGTAAATAGGACGCCATTCAGCCCACTCCCTCCAATCTGCCTCTTTCACAGCTCGGCTGCGCTATCCATCGTCCATCCTGTCATTTTGTCAACTCGCAGAAAATTCTGGAACATTCCTTCCAATTCTCCCCGTGTCAGTTGGACTCAAATTCCATGCTGGGGTCCAAATTGACTCCACAGCTGTCTGGGAGGCATTGCTCTGCACAAACTAGCTACCAGGTTTGACTACAAAATGCACAGTCACTACACTTTACTACACAGTCACTACACATGTCCTCCTGACATGAAAGGCTCCACATCAAATGCAAGGATTGTTATTAATTATTATTCGAGCACTCAAGTGACCTCCAGTGAAGTGGCCGCACTACAGCAAATGACCGGAGTTAAAGACAACCCAAAAGGGCCGGGGAGGGGGGGGAAGAGAAGTTACCCCTCTATGTAATTGTCTGCTCGTCTGAGGCCACACTTCGTTTCCCAGCTCATTGGGAATCCTGCCCGTCACATAGGTTCGCCACCTACCTGAGACATCATCGTGTCGCATGCCATGGACAGCCCCATCCCGACTGCTATACCTGTCACACTGATCACCTTGTTAGGTTGGGAATGGAGACACAGAGAGAGAGAGAGAGAGAGAGAGAAAGGATTAACAGACAGGGAGATCCCATTCTTCCGCTATTTGGAGGCCTCCAGTGTATTCTCTGAGGTACGGGTAGAAAAGACCATTTTGCTGTAAAATTTAAGGCCGCACTGAATAATCAGAACATTCTCAAATTCGAACTTAATTCGGAAGACGATTTTCCACAATGCTCAAAAAGATCCGTCTTCCATGTTAAGCCTGAACTTAACAACGTGCAAACTCAAATTTTAAGACCAAATGATCTTAGAATCATAGAATATTACAGCACAGAAGGAGGCCATTCGGCCCGTCGTGCCCGTGCCGACTTTTTCAAAGAGCTACCCAATCAGTCCCACTCCTCTGAGTTCTCCCCATATCCCCGAAAATGTTTCCTTTTCAAGTACACATCTAATTCCCTTTTGAAAGTTGTTATTCAATCTGAGTCTTACTGGAACTTTTACACAATACAATTAGAATTCTAAGTTATGAATTATAAACAATTTGTGAGATCAGTCATTATACAGGAGTCAGTAAAATGTTACACCTAAACCAAAGCGAATCGAGGTGGTGGGGGGGGGGGGACATCCTGCTGCCCCAAGGGATCACCTTAGCAGATGTGCTGAGTACCTACCGATGTGGCGAGAGTTACAGCATTCAGCTCCAGTTTTCCGAGGTGCCCACTGAAGACGGCGCTGATGAAGTTGAGCGTGAACAACAGCACCTGTGACAGAATCTGACAAAGGAGTCGTATCAAGAGTGAGTTTGAAGCTCAGCACATTAACACCACAACAGAGGGCTGAGCTACTGAGNAAAAAGCTGGACCACGATGGGGCAATGATTGTCCAGCAATTTGGGACGTCCTCCCGACGTGAAAGGCGCTATACAAATGTAATTGTGTTGTTGTTGTGCCGGAGCTTGAGTTCGCCCTTCAGGTCCAAACGGTGACTTTCCTCCCGGGAGAGGGGGCGGGGATAGAAAGAAGGTAAACAAGGACTCTTTAGAGCTGAATTGGATCCAACCACTACCAGAGTCATCAACACCACATGATCTAAGTTATAGCACTGACCCCAAAATCAAAGCAGCTCTGTGGGTCACTGTATCACAAAGTCTCGGCTTTGCACTACTTGGGTCTGTCAGTACCTCACGTGGCTCAAAGATAATTTATTTCTTTGCTTTGCAACTCGAAAATTGGAAGAATTAAGAAAATTGAATCATTGGCAAAAATTGGCTCCTTCCTGACATGAATCTTTGTGAAGCTGCCGGTGGGGGGTGGGGGGGGGAGAAAGAGGGTGAATTGTTCATGGGCTTCAGTGGTGAAGGTGATACGAGCGATACTCCACCTCACACAGCCTCTCTCCACCCGATTCCAGGGGCTTCTCAGCCTTTTGGGTTCAGATCAAGTGGGATGGATCTGCTGCATTTGGTTAGAGAAGCCAATCTGTCGCATAAAATCAAACCAGCCGTGTCTCGTGGCAGGTAGATGGTTCTCACTCACATGAGACTCTTGTCTTTACAGTTGTCTAGTCTTATGGCAGAGAAACCGGTTTTAGGCAAAGCGGTCCCTAACCCCATTTGTTTTCCCAAATCAGTCATTTTGGAATGAACCCAACTTGCCGAGTTTAAACACATTTTACACGTTTCGCTCACAAAATATACAGTCAATTCACCTTACAGTACATTGTGTGAAGCGCTTTGAGACGTCTCGAAGACGTGATAAGGCGCTGTATCAAGTGCAGGGATTACCATTATTGTATATTGGGGGATACATATATATATATATTCATTATATACAACAACTTGCATTTATATAGCCTTCTCACCCGGAACCTGGGGATGTAAACAAAGAAATACCATGAAAACAGCATTTAAAAACAAGTCCTCCGGCTCCTCAGTGCTGTATGTGGGACAAACGTGTGTGGGGAGGGGGGTGTGGGGGGGTGTGTGTGTGTGGGGGGGGGGGGGGTGTGGGGGGGGTGTGGGGGGGGGGGTGTGGGGGGTGTGTGTGTGTGGGGGGGGGGTGTGGGGGGGTGTGGAGGGGGTGGGGGGTGTGTGTGTGGGTTGTGTGGGGGGGTGTGGGGGGGGGGTGGGGGGGGGGGGGGGGGGGGTGTGGGGGGGGGGGGGGGGGTGTGGGGTGGTGTGGTGGGGGGTGGGGAGTGGGGGGTGTGGTGGGGTGTGTGTGTGTGTGTGTGGGGGGGGTGTGGGGGTGTGTGTGTGTGGGTGTGTGTGTGGGGTGTGTGTGGGGTGTGGGTGTGTGTGTGTGTGTGTGGGGGGGGGTGGTGGGTGTGTGGGGGGAGTGGGGGGTGTGGTGGGGGGGTGGGGGGTGGTGGGGTGTGGGTGGTGGTGGGGGGGGGAGGGTGTGTGTGTGTGGGTGTGTGTGTGGGGGGTGTGGAGGGGTGGGGGGGTGTGGTGGGGGGGGGAGGGGTGTGGGGGTGGTGTGTGTGTGGTTGGAGGGGGGTGGGGGGTGTGGGTGTGTGTGTGGGGTGTGTGTCATTAAGATGACGGTCACTCACCATCGGCGCCGCCAACAGGAACAGCGCCTTCACCTCCACTCCGGACACCGCCGGGAAACAGCGGCACAGACACCGCACACAGCGGGACCCCGAGAGCCTCAGACCCCCGGACCGGGGCTCACACTCACCCACTGCAGTCTGAGGCATCGCTCGCAGGTACCCCCACCCACACACCCACACACACACCCACACACAGACCCACACACAGACCACACACACACACACACACACAGACTCCCCCCACCCACACACACACCCACACACACACAGACCCCCCCCCCACACCCCCCACACACACACCCACACACAGACCCACACACACACCCACACACACACCACACACACACCCACACACACACCCACACACACACACACACACACACAGACTCCCCCCACCCACACACACACCCACAGACACACACACACAGACCCCCCCACACACACCCACACACACCCCCACACACACACAGACCCCGACCCCCCACACCCCCACACCCCCCCACACACACACACCCACACACACCCCCCCCCCACACACACACAGACACACACCCACACACACACTCCCCTTCTACAGTCCCCAAACACTGAGCGAACACACGAACCCTTCGCTGCCCTCAGGGACCGCTCAGACTTGGGTCGAGATCTGAGCTGAAGCTCTCTCTGGGGAACCGATCAACTCACTGCGCTCTCTCTCCTCTCCTCTTCCCTCTCTCTCCTCTCCTTCCCTCTCTCCCTCTCTCTCTCCTCTTCTCTTCCCTCTCTCCTCTCCTCTTCCCTCTCTCTCCTCTCCTTCCCCCCTCCCTCTCTCTCTCCTCTCCTCTTCCCTCTCTCTCCTCTCCTTCCCCCTCTCCCTCTCTCTCTCCTCTCCTCTTCCCTCTCTCTCCTCTCCTTCCCCCTCTCCCTCTCTCTCTCCTCTCCTCTCCCCTCTCCCTCTCTCTCTCCTCTCCTCTTCCCTCTCTCTCCTCTCCTTCCCCCTCTCCCTCCCTCTCTCCTCTCCTCTTCCCTCTCTCCCTCTCTCTCCTCTCCTCTTCCCTCTCTCCTCTCCTTCCCTCTCTCTCTCTCCTCTCCTCTTCCCTCTCTCCTCTCCTCTTCCCTCTCTCCTCTCCTTCCCCCTCTCCCTCTCTCTCTCCTCTCCTCTTCCCTCTGGCGGATGAATGGGACCTTTTTTGTCCTGTGGATTAAATTGGGATTTATTCTCTGCGGCTGAACGGTTTCTTTGCTCAACAGCGGGTGAGGGACCCCCCGAGGGGAGGGGGACCCCCCGAGGGGAGGGGGACCCCCCGAGGGGAGGGGGACCCCCAGAGGGGAGGGGAGAGGGACCCCCGAGGGGAGGGGAGGGGGACCCCCCGAGGGGAGGGGAGGGGGACCCCCGAGGGGAGGGGAGAGGGACCCCCGAGGGGAGGGGAGAGGGACCCCCCGGGGGGAGGGGAGGGGGACCCCCCGAGGGGAGGGAGGGAGACCCCCGAGGGGAGGGAGGGGGACCCCCGAGGGAGGGGAGGGGACCCCCCGAGGGGAGGGGAGGGGGACCCCCGAGGGGAGGGGAGGGGACCCCCCGAGGGGAGGGGAGTGGGGGGGTCCCAGTCCGGGAGCTGAGCCCCTGTTGGGTGTTGTGTGCGCGTTATTTCTGAAAAAGACAGTGTTTCTCGAGTTTTGTCTGTGAACAGTTTCCACATTCCCTCTCAGACGAGGATCGATCTCATCGCCAAACAAGTAACCGTCAAACTGTGAACGGACCAGAGCGACAGACACAGACAGACAGACAGAGATACACAGACAGACAGACACACAGACAGAGACACAGACACACAGACAGACAGAGACAGACAGACACACAGACAGAGACACAGACACACAGACAGACAGACACAGACACGATCAGGAGAAATGTAGATAAAAGAGACATGAAACGAAACTCCTGCTTTTGGAGGGAGTGCGCGACGGTGGTCTGACTAACGCGGTGACTTTTGGACGCCTGCAGTTGTTGATCCGGATATTTTCGGTACAGCGATGAATGGGCAATCAACAAGAACTTGGGATTTATACAGCGCCCTCCACCCCAGCCGGCGTCTCAGAGCGCTTCACAGTAACGGATCCCGGGACTAATCTAATCCCCGGCACGAGGTGTGGCGCTGCTGTTCTGCACCGATTCAGGACATGAAAAACAAGTACGAAACTGTTTGACCAGATGTGGTTTATTGTCGAGGTTACAGAAAAACCTTACGAATAGCCATAAATTGCGAGTAATATTAAAAGAACGCCGGATTCATTAAAACGGATCATCGCAATACGGTGCAAAATTACATTTCTGTAGCGCCCTTCACGTCGGGAGGACGTCCCAGAGTGCTACACAACATCGTAGTGTTGATTCTGTGCAACGAAGGGCTCAGAAGTAGGTCTCTTGTGGGTTGAACTGCTCCAGAACTATTCCACACAAAACAGCAGCATTTGTACAGCGCCTTTCACGTCGGGAGGACGTCCCACATGCAAACCCACACAGCAGCATTTGTTCCCAAGTCACTCTCTGACAGCAATGAGTGTGTCGAGTAACATTGCGGGAGAATGTCAATCGTTAACACAATCATTAAAACGCAATTGGCTGCCACATTTCGCCCACAAACTATCAGTCAATTCACTTTGCAGTGTATCCTGTGAAGAGCTTTCAGAACTCATGATAAATCATTTATTTATTTATTTACTTAGCATCTTTCACGTGGAAGAAGCGAGACAAAGAATTTTTAAGAAGTGAAGTTTTTTTTAAAAAAAATACAGTCAGATGTTCAGTAAAGGCCAAACCTCATCACCGCTGCCAACAAAAATTATGGATCTTCATTTGGTTCCTTACGTTCCTCTTAAGAGAAGGAAAACGCCCACAATGTTGCTGTCGTTGGTTCGAGTTAGCTGCGCTCTTGTGCCAGCCACTCCACACGTGGTTTTATTTTTGACCGTGCCTTCAGCTCCCCTCTCGACTCTCTACCCCCTCCTCGCTCCCTCCCCTCACCCTGACCATTTCCCCCCTGCTCGGGTCCTGACCCAAGTGTCCAGCGCCTTGGGACGTCCTCCCGACGTGAAAGGCGCTCTATAAATGAAACCTTCTTGTTGTTGCTGTTATTGCAATCCCACGAAGCGGGAACCTTGTGCATTCATATCAATCGCTGACAATGTGGATGAACAACAACACATTACACTTCACGTCGAAAAGATGGCCCAAGGAGCTGGACAGTCAGGGATTTTCGGACCCGAGCTGGGGGGGATCAGGAAAGGTGGAGGGTGGGGAGGGTGGCCCAGACAGGTTTTGCTTTGGCAGGAAGCTGGCGTGATGTTGGCTGGAACCAGAGTTTCAGGTTCCTGTACCGTGCTGCGGCCAGAATCAAAAAAGATTACAGCGTCTACAGAGCGTGGATATTCGGCAGATTGGATTCCCAGATTATATCACCATCGGTCAACGCCACACCGAGGATTTCCAACTGAATCCACTTGGTTTGCTTTCAGAACGTAGCTCAATGGTTAGAGCACTTGCCTTGCAAGCGAGACACCTGGGTTCAATTCCAGGCAGAGGGCGAAACCTTGGCAAGTTTCCTTACTCCACACAGAGCCTAATAATAATCCCTCCAAAACAAAACAATAATAAATTGGTCATTTTCAATCCACGACTGTTTGTGGGACATTGCTGTGCACAATTGGCTGCCGCATTTCGCCCACAAAATACACAGTCAATTCACTGTGCAGTATATTCCGTGAAGCGCTTTGAGACGTCGAGAAGATGTGAAAAGCGCTATATCAAACGCAAGGATTATTATTATAACATGTTCAAACTCCAAGTTTGCAGTCAGGGAGGGACAAGATTGCAGGGAGATTATGCAAGCAAAACTGAGCAGCAGGTTGATCAATTGCGCAGACATTGCTTTTGACTATGTAACAGTGCACGTGATTAAAACCAGCCCAACACTGTGCATTCAGAACTCCCTCTGCCCCATCCTCCCCCCAACCCCCACGTTCCAGGAGCATTCAGCCCCAGCTCTGCAGGCATTTAGCAATACCCCCCCACCCGCTCTCCCTCAACCACAATGTGTCACAAGTACAAAATATAATTTATTATTGGGGGTGAAATCAAGATCTTGCTCCCCACGAGGTGTGCTTTGTGCATCCTGACAAAAAGGTACAACTGCAACCACTCCCCTCCTCATCTCAAGCAGCCAGTGACCTCCAGCAAGCTGGGTATTTGTGATAAAGAACTGAGAGAGAGACTTTGCAGGAGTTATTCTTCACCCTACGTGTTTTTCAGCCTTGAGAAAGAAGAATGTTATTGTGCCAGACAGAGATGGCTCCTCGAGGCAGGATGAAAAAGGGATCTTTGTTAAGGGGATGTAAAAACATTGATGCTTGATGAGGTCTGAAGTAACACAAGGGCGTTAAAAGGTAAAACAGAGATAAAAAGAACTGGCAAGAAATGGTGATGAGCAGTTTCTATGAAAAAAGCACCTGGTCGGGTGAGAATATAGTATAAAAGTGCTGAACGCAATACATCGGTAGGAGAGCAAGATGCTGCCACTGAAAGAGAAAGAACTTCCAGGTCAAAACATGATCAAAATACTCTTAAGCGGTCACCATCTTTCTCAGAGGAACGACTTGGTCATCCTTGTATTCAGACTTTGCATCCTGGCTGTAATAATAACAATAAAAATAATCCTTGCAATTGATAGAGCACCTTATCAAGTCATTGAGATGTCTCAAAGCGCTTCACAGAATATACCTTAAGTGAACTGATTGTATAAAACGCAGCAGCTAATGACAGCAGTGTCCCACGAATAGTGATGGATTGAGTGACCAAATTATTTTTTTTGGAAGAGGTTTTCATCCTGGAAAAGTCCTACTTACTGCTAAGTAGGAACAACAACGGTGTGTGGAGCAAGGAAACTTGCCTAAGGTGTCGCCCTGCCCGGGAATCAAACCTGGGTCCTCTTGCTTGCGAGGTGAGCACTCTACCCACTACACTAGGCTGCTTTACAGTAAAACAGCTTATTGTTGTTGCTTTGATTGAATAAAGTGCTGACAGTCAGTCCCGTATTATTACATTGTGAGCAACTCTAAAACTTACAACAAACTCCCACTATCATTCTTCAAAATCTACATCATTTGGCAACTGTTATTTGAAAGTGGTCATTGTACAATTAATTAATTCATCTTGAATCACAATCCTATTCTCAGCAATACAACCATCACCACCGCCCATTCACACAGACCCAACATTACGCTCAGCTCAGTAGCAAATCACACAGCATACATTAGATAAAATCTACCCCACCTGGTTACAACAGTGAAGCTTGGGATTAAGTGATACCCACCTACATTTTAGTAAGAGCTAGTGCATCACCGCCCCCCACCCCCCCCCCCCATCAGGGAGAGGTTTCAATGCACTTAATGTTAGAAAATAAGGTGATTATTTGCAGCAATAGAAGCTTTTAGTCACAAATCATATCACAGGTTATTCTCTGCTCTCTCCTAACCCCAGTCACTGGGTGATCAGGTGAGTTGCGATGCAGGCTTCTTCTCGGTCAGGCTGCCCCTCAGGCTTCACAGAAAATAAAACTGAAAGAAAAAAAATTGTAATGAAGCCCCAAGTAACTATGAGCTGAGCAAGGTCATTTGAGAAAAAGACATTTGAGGAGATTATAAAGTGGCTTGCGTGTCCTCCTGCCAGCCTCGCCCATGGAAGGGGAGAGGTGAAGGGAGGAGGGGGTGGGTGTGGTCAAAGACAACAGAAAAGGTCTCATGAATTGAGATGTCCCATGAACCATGAGTTTGACCCAAACGTGTGTAGTGAATCAAGGGTTTCCATTGCTTTACCAATTTTCTAAGACAATTTTCAACATTAAACACAAGCAAATGATTAACAGTTAACCACAGGTTGATTTCAGCTGCTCGATTTTCCCTACAAAAGAACATTCACTCTGCGATGAAACTCTAGCGCTCTGGGACGCTACCCTGGGTGAGTAGCGCTATATAAATGCAAGTACTTGTTGTTTACCTTCAGCGCCATAGCAATCAGCACCCCCAGCAAACCGATCATCATCTGCTTCATTCTGCTGCTCCCATGAGACTTCATCAGCAGCCAGCGGGTCCACTTCAGCTTGGACTCGGTGGCAGGTGGGTAACGAACACTGTTCAGCGACTCCATCCTGAAGGACTTGATCACACAAGCTCGACGGTGGCTAAACGTTTCGAAGGTGAATTTTCCGTGGTACGCTCCGATACCACTTTTACCTGAAAACGGGGATGAACTCAGTCATAGAATTCTTCAGCACCAGCGTGATGTAAAGCCTCAGCTGCCTTTACCCCCTTCATCTTTTTTTTTTTTGCAGTGCTCCGAGACGTTATAAGCGCACAAAGGGCGTTGTATATATCCTGACTTGTCTACAAATCCCTCCACGGCCTGGCACCTCCCTACCTTTCTGACCTCTTTTCGCTCCACTCAACTATCCACTCGTCTGGCTTGAACTCCTGCTTGTCCATCGTCCCACCCACTCATCATCAGCTGCTGGACTTCCAGCCACTACACCCCGAAGATTTGGAACTCTCTCTCTCTCAATCTCTCTGCCTTGCCCTCTCCTTTCCCTCTTTTAGATCACAACTGAAGACCTTCCTCTTCGACCATGCTTACGGTCACCTCCTCCCTCCCCAGGCTCGGTGTCAGACTCACTGTCAAGCGCTCTGACACGCTGCCCTGCGTGAAAGGGAGCTATATAAATGCAAGTTGTTAAAATAATCCTTGCATTTGGTATAGCGCCTTATCACGTCTTCGAGACGTCTCAAAGTGCTTCCCGGAATATACTGTCAAGCGTAGTGACTGTGTATTTTCTGAGATAACCAGTTGTGTTCCACGTATTTCATCTTATCTTATCCAGTTGCTCTGAAAGCAGACGATCATGACGGCAGCAACTCACCGATGCCCCCAAAAGGCAGGGAGCTGATGCTGTAATGGATCATGCAGTCGTTTACTGTGACGCCTCCACTGGAGGTCTCAGCTATCATTCTGTTGATCAGCTGCAAGAACAAGGAATAGTTCCAGTGTTACGATTACTCCGGGCAGCTCAGCGGCTGGCTGAAGCGGACATGCACAGCGATCCTGGCCAGGGTCCTCACCTTTTTGTCATTGGTGAAGATGTAGAGAGCCAGGGGCTTATCCCGGTTGTTGATGAAGTTAATGGCATCCTCTGCACCGGCAACGGGGACGATCGGCAACACTGGGCCGAAGATCTCCTCCTGCATCACCTTGGCGTTGGGATCCACGTTAGCCACAATCGTGGGCGCTAAGAGAATATCAACGAGATGCTGACCCTTTTCATGGAATCACAGAATATTACAACACAGAAGGAGGCCATTCGGCCCATCTTGCCTGTGCCAGCTCTTTGGAAGAGCTACCCAATCAGTCCCACTCCCCCGGATTTTCCCCATATCCTTACAAATATTTCTTTTTCAAGTACCAATCCAATTCCCTTTTGAAAGTTGTTGTTGAATCTGCTTCCACCGCCCTCTCAGGCAGTGTTTTCCAGACTATAACAACTCACTAAAAAAAGTCTCCTCACTTCCCCTCTGGTTCTTTTGCCAATTATCTTAAACCTATGTTGCCCTGATCAGAGCAATTTGAGTAAAAGTGGGGGAGGGGGCTGAGGACATTGAAGGCACACTCAAGAGATATACTTTTCAGGTGGACGCCAGTTGAATGCATGGAGAGAGAATGCAAGGTAAAGGGATTTCAAGGGGCCAGTGAAAACTCAGCTGTCGACAGTGGGACAGAGGAGGACCAGCTGGCCTGAGTTGAAGGAGCGGAAACAGCAACGACTTTTTCATTTTTGTATATTATAAATGATCTGACGTAATAAACATTTACATGAGGAATAGCGGGTGATTACAATGCAATAAATAATCCTTGAATTTGATAACAGTGCCTTATCATGTCCTCGAGAAGTCTTAAAGCTCTTCACAGGATTTTACTGTGAAATGTGATGACTGGGTATTAGTTGGCAAGTTGGTTTTAGTGCAGGAGTTGGACAAACCACAGTTTTTGCCGGGGCGGGAGGGCGGGAAGAAGCCTTATTCACTGCTCCAGGTGTGGTGGGGGAGGAAGGGGACAGGAGGAGCTTGAGGAGCCTGGCGTGAAGGGGAGCAGCCTGATGTCCAGGGAACACTTGCACCCACAAAGCCCCGTGCCCTCTCTAATTATCCAGCCGTTCTGTCAGACCAGAAGGGATTCCCGACGGTGATTCCCACCCGCGGACTCAATAACCACCTAGGTACAGTTGCTGTGTGTTGTAGTCTCCTCCATGCGTCACTTTCAGCCCCTCCAGCAGTGACAGCAGCCGACTCAGATGGTGCCTGTTCACAATGCGACCATAGTCGGGGGATGTCTGGGGATCATCACCGTAGAACATCTGCAATGGATCAAGCCAAATATTAACTGGGGGAAGACTGTGGCTGACCAGCAACTGACAGTCAGGCCACGAATTACATACAATGTACCAGAGGCTACATTAACTGTACAGTCTACTCTATATAAAGGGAGGCATCTGGATTCCTCTGTACAGAAGAAATCTCATTTAAGAAACAACATTCACAGAGTATGGGGAAAGAGCGGGGGAGTGGGACTGATTGGGTAGCTCTTGCCAGTACAGGCACAATTCGCCGAATGGCCTCCTTCTGTGCTGTGAGATTCTATGATTTGGCGTTTCTATGAGTATCAGGGCGATTTCGTGCCTGGGTTTTAAACCTCACATACATAGAATATGTAGCTCTCACATACATAGCTCTCTCAGCCTCTGGGCTTCTTCAGGCAATGTAATAGAAACCCACTCACTTTAATGGATTCAATGAGCTTCTGCACTACTTTATCGTGGATCCCCTCATCACAGAGGATATAGTCTGGAGCAATGCAAGTCTGACCACAGTTTACATAGCGAGCCCATGCTATACGCCTAGGACAAACAGATAGCCAAGTCAGAATAACTGTGTTTGAACCAGACACACACAACACACAAAATGTCCTGGTCAAAAATCCCCCAAATAAAGTTAGACATTTACTTCATGATTGTCTGTGGGACACTGCAGTGCACAAACTCTCTCCCAGTCAGTCAGCCCCCTCCGTTACCCCCCTCCCTCTCCCAGTCACACCCTCGCCCTCTCCCGGTCACACCCTCTCCCTCTTCCGGTCACACCCTCTCCCTCTCCCGGTCACGCCCTCTCCCTCTCCCGGTCACACCCTCTCCCTCTCCCGGTCACGCCCTCTCCCTCTCACGGGTAACACCCTCTCCCTCTCCCGGTCACACCCTCTCCCTCTCCCGGTCACCCCCCCTCCTTCTCCCGGTCACCCCTCTCCCTCTCCCGGTCACCCCCCCTCCTTCTCCCGGTCACACCCTCTCCCTGGAGTGGGACATCCTCCATATCCCACTCCAGCCAATCTCGTAGAAGAGCAAAGCTAATCAGCTGAGCCGCGCTGTCTCTACACCAACCTGCAGGCAACGTCCAGATTGCAGTTCTTATTGATGTAACAGGGACTTTTGCCTCCGAGCTCCAGGGTCACTGGGGTCAGGTGTTTGGCGGCCGCTTCCATGACAATTTTACCAACGCTGGAGCTGCCCGTGAACAGGATGTGATCGAACTGAAGCTTCAGTAGCTCCGTGGTCTCTGGCACCGCTCCGTTCACCACAGGGTACAACTCCTGGACGAGGAAGCACATTTTACACTTCAATAACCCTAACTGCTTAGCCACTGTCAGGCACACTTCTGCCTTCCCTAATAATACAGTAAAAAAATTATGTATATATATATACTATACATTATATTATACATAAATATATGTGTATAAAAAATCCCAAATATGGTGGAAGAGTGGAGGAAGCAGATTCGATAGCTTTCAAAAGGGAATTGGACATGTACTTGAAAAGGAAAAAATTTGTAGGGCAACAACAACTTGCATTTATATAGTGCCCGTCACGCAGGGCAGGTCTCCCAGAGTGCTTGACATTGGCGGAGCACGACACCGAACCGGGGGGAGAGGGGGAGGTGACTGTAGGCATGGTCGAATAGGAAGATCTTCAGGCGCGACCTGAAGGAAGGGGCAAGACAGAAGGATAGAAGAAGAGTTTTCCAGATTTTCGGTGCATAGTGGCTATGGGATAAGAGCGGGGGGAGTGGGACTAGTTGGTAGCTCTTTCAAAGAGCCAGCACAGGCACAATGGGCCGAATGGCCTCCTTCTGTGCTGTAAGATTCTATGATTTTATGCCTAAACAATGGGGAAAAAAATGTTTTCAATTTGGAGTAAATCATGAAAAGATAAAGACCAACTAACAGTGGCTGACACGTGAAGAACAGCTGCTTTGGTGAAGCACTGGAGGGGAATTGGAGCCCATGGAACTTGGGCAAGATATCAAAGGGCAACTGGCCACAGAAGCTACTGCCTTCAGGAAGGGATAAAGATGAAGAAGCCAGAGTCACGGATGGAGGTGTTGGGGGGATGCGAGGGGAGGGATTTTACTCTCGGAACACAACTTATTGTGAAGTTAAGAGTGGGGCTCACAATGCTGAAAGAGTTGTCCTTCTAACCCAATTCAAGTAGTTTTAATGCCAGGTTAGAAATCCCATCCCTGCAACATGGAGTCACCTTGTCCAAGTACTGAGGCAGCAATTTCTGCAGCAGTTGAGCCATGTTCTCGCTCACTTCCGAAGGCTTGATGACCACAGCGTTTCCTGGTAAAAGAATCAGAATGTTTAGCAAAAGGCCAACCGTACCATAGGTACCACAAATTCCCTTTTCCTTCAGGAAACAAAGCAGAAGGAAAAATAATAATAATAATCCTTGCGCCTTATCATGTCTATACTCTCCTCTCACCTCAACCTTCAAAGTTCTGCCCTTGACTGGTTCAGGTCCTACCTTTCACACCATTTAGGCGTGGCAAATGACCTCGCCTCCAGCCCCCGCACCGTCTTGTGCGGTGTTCCTCAGAGCTCTGTCCTCGGTCCCCTCCTCTTCACCCTCTACATGCTTCCCCTTAGTGACATCAGCCACAGACATCGGGTAAATTTCCACATGCATGCGGATGACACCCAACTCTTATCTCTCTGCCTCCATCCTCAACTCCAGGACTACTGGCGGCCTGTCCGACATCAAGTCCTGGACGAGGGACAACTTTCTCCAACTCAACGTCAGCAAGACCGAGGCCCTCCTGATTGGCTCGTGCCAGTGCCTCCGCACCTCAGCGCTGGCAGCATTGGCCTCCACGGCTGCACACTCAATCTCACTAAACCAGTCAGGAACCTGGGTATCATGTTTGACCCTGAACTGTCCTGTCTCCCCCACATCCGCGCCATGACCGGCACTGCCTCCCGCCACCTCCGCAATATTTCCAGACTCCGCCACTGCCTCACCCCTCAGGCTGCCGAAACCTTTATCCATGCATTCGTCACATCAAGGCTCGATTACGGAAACTCCCTCCTTATCAGCCTTCCCAACTCTTCCCTTCAAAGCTGCAGATCATCCAAAATTCTGCAGCTCATGTACTCTCGCGCACCAGGCTCCGTGACCCCATCACTCCCACCCTCGCCCGATGCCACTGGCTCCCCATCCCTCAGAGGATCGAGTTCAAGATACTCATCTTCACTTTCAAGGCCATCTATGGCCTTGCCCCCTCCTACCTCTCTGACCTGCTGACTCCCTAGCAATCTGCCCGCTCCCTCCGTTCAGCGGACTCCCTGCTGCTCCATGTCTCCCACCCGACCCGCCCTTCCATCGGTGGCTGGGCTTTCAGCTTCTCTGCCCCCACACTCTGGAACTCCATCCACGGTCCCTTCGCTTCCTCCGTTGCCTCCTTCAAGGCCGGTCTCAAGATCTTTCTCTTTGATCGTGCCTTTGGTCGCCCTCCCACCTTTCTGTCTTCCCTCAACCCTATAACACCCCTACCCCATGCTTGGGTCCCGACGCCTGACTGGTCAGCGCTTTGGGATGTCCTCCCGACGTGAAAGGCGCTCTATATATGTAATTTTGTTGTTGTTGTTGTAAAGCGGATTTATCTTTTTCAGTGAGCGAAACACGGAAGCCAATTGCACATTATTATTATTTTCATGAAATCAAATATCAAATGCAAGAGAAAGCAAAGCGAGAGACTGACACCCACAAAAAAACACAGAGGAACGATTTGTAAGGTGGGGGGGGGGGGGAATGTGAAGCAGTGATCCAAACACATCAACAATAACCCTCGATTTTGACATTTTGAAAAATAACTCGAGAATTATGAATTCCGATTTCTTTTAATTGAAACAAACAAGTGCAAGTTACCTGCTGCAATTGCCCCAATTAGTGGCTGGATTACAAGAGCTAGTGGGTAGTTCCAGGCCCCCATGATCAGGACTACACCCAGAGGTTCTCTGTGGATGTAAACTTCATCCATTATGGTGAGCATGTTCTTTGAGACGAACTCGGGGGCAGTCCAGTCGGGCAGTTTGTTCAGAGCCAGTGTGATCTCGTTCTGGAGGCCAACCACTTCAAAAATGGCCACGTCAAACTGACTCTACAGAATCAATGCGAGAAAGAATTGAGATGTGCTTTGGAAACAGAGGGTGGCACAGAGCACAGTGTCGGAGTGAAAGCTGAAGCTAGCGCACCAGGACCTGCGTTAGCACCTACGTCCCCAATCTCAGGTTCTGCAAGCATAATAATAATAATCCTTGCATTTGATATAGCGCCTTATCACGTCTTCGAGACGTCTCAAGGCGCTTTACCGAATATACTGTAAAGTGAATTGACTGTATATCTTGCGGGTAAAACTTGGCGTTGGGGGAGCAGTGGGGATTCATTGGATCTGACATAAAGTTTTGCAGATGTTGAATTCCAACGACTAGCTGCTAGACATTACGTCAAAGAAAGGATCCCACAAGTCCGCGCGGCCTAGCAGGTCTAGCTACCATCAGAACAGTATTTGCTATTAGCAAATAGAATCATACAGCACATTCGGCCCATCATGTCTGTGCCGGCTCTTTGAAAAGAATCAATCCTGCTGCACGTTAGTGTAAACCCCAGTATGGTCAAAGGTTCACTCCCTCTCAGATCACCTTATCTCCCTGGTGCAAGTTGCACAATCCAATTATTACAATCAAGGCTGCATATGGACTCTGGCTCTGCTCAATCACTGGAATGTTGAACACTGGGAAATGGAGCACTTTTCAAACTCAGATTCTGCCAAGACACCCCTACCCCGAGCCCCCAATCCTATCCTGAGCCCCCACTCCTACCCCGAGCCCCCACTCCTACCCCGAGCCCCCACTCCTACCCCGAGCCCCCACTGCTACCCCGCTGTAGAGCAAATAAGACCTCAGCAATCCTGGGAAAGCACCACCAATCCCCCACTGCCTGTATCCAGGGGTAATAATCCCTACAAAAAAATAATAATAATTTGGTCACTCAATTCATGACTGTTTGTGGGACGCTGCCGTGTGCAATCTGTTGCTGTGTTTTGCCCACAAAACACACGGTCAAGTCACTTCTGTGAAGCACTTTGAGATGTCTCAAAGACATGCATAGATTATTATTACTTATTATCCAACTTAGTGTATCATTCATTGACAGACACTCCTGATCAGCAGCCAAAAGATCCAGCGGATAAAAGCTGGGCAAACACACGAGTCGCAAATGACACTGAGAAAAAAGGCTTCACATGTTTACTAGATTGATTTGGATGAAGTTGACCAATTTGAACAACTACTGTACCCTTTTCCTATCACAGCATCGAGCTATTTTTAAAAAGAAATGAGTTTCAGTGTCCTGTCCTCAATCAACCTGTGTTAATGAACTGCACTCCTGTTGCCTGCACTAGGATAAGCCTCAAAGCCACATTTCATCATTTGTTTTTACAAAGAAAAAAAGGTGAATTCAAACCATGTATAAAATGATTCACGGACAGTAATTAGAACAGCGCAGCCCGCTGAGGGACGGGAACCAATTACTGATACGGTTGGCAAAAGTTGAACAAGTATCTGCAAAATGATTCAAAACTCATTTCTGGAAGCAACACTATCCGTAGCCACTCCAGATTGAGGAATGGTTTCTGTGGTAACTCAGCTACAGGTAAACCACACAGCCCGAGGCAGAATCTTAAATATAGCTCTCTTCACCCACACCCCGTGCAACACACAACCTGCCCTGGGTCTGCCTAGCTCAGCTTTTATCAAACATCAGCCAATCCAGACGGGATGCATCCTGGGTTACTGAGGGAAGTGAGGGTGGAAATAACGGTGGCTCTGGCCACAATCTTTCAATCCTCCTTGGACACCGGGTGGTGCCAGAAGACTGGAGGGTTTTAAATGTTACTCCCCTGTACAAAAAGGGGGAGAAGGATAAACCGGGAACTACAGACCAGTAAGCCAAACGTCAGTAGTGGAGAAACTTCTAGAGACTATAATCCGGGACAAATTAATTTTCACTTAGAAATATATGGGCAGATAGAATATATATGATAGAAATATAAACAACAGCCAACATGGATTTGTTAAAGGCAAATTATGTTTAACAAACCTGATAAGAGTTTTTTGATGAAGTAAGGGAGAGGGTGGATGAAGGTAGAATGCAGTTGATGTAGTTTATATGGATTTTCAAAAGGTGTTTGATAAAGTGCCACATAAGTGACTTGTGAGCAAAATAGAAGCCCACGGAATAAAAGGAACAGTGGCAGTGGATACAGAACTCGCAGGGAGACAGAGAGCAGAGAGTGGTGGTGAACGGTTGNTTTTCTGACTGGAGGGAAGTTTGCAGTGGTGTCCCTCAGAGGTCAGTATTGGGACCACTGCTGTTTTTGATCTATATGAATGACCTGGACTGGGGACAGTTTCCAAATTTGCAGTTGATACTAAGATAGGAAATGTAATAAACAGTGAGGAGGATAGTAGTAGACTGCAAATAGACATAATAATAATCCTTGCATTTTATATAGCGCTTTTCACGTCGGGAGGACGTCCCAAAGCGCTTCACAGCATTCACTGTAAAGTGAATTGACTGTATATTTGTGGGCGAAGGCGGCAGCCAATTGTGCACAGCAATGTCCCACAAACAGTCGTAGATTGAAAATGACCAATTTATTATTGTTTTTTTGGAGGGATTATTATTAAGTGTGTGGAGTAAGGAAACTTGCCCAAGGTTTCGCCCTCTGCCTGGAATTGAACTCAAGTCTCTCGCTTGCAAAGCGAGTGCTCTAACCACTGAGCTACAGGACTCCACATAGACAGACTGGTAAAATGGTCAGACACGTGGCAGATGAAATTTAATGTGGAGAAATGCAAAGTGATGCGTATTGGGAGTAAGAATGAGGAGAGGCAATATAAGCTGATGGTACAATCTTAAAGGAGGTGAAGGAACAGAGAGATCTGAGGGTTCATATAAATAAATCTTTGAAGGTGGCAGGACAGGTAGATAAAGCTGTTAAAAAAGCATACAGGATACTAGGCTTTATAAATAGGGGTACAGAATACAAAAGTCAGGAAGTTATGATGAACCTTTATAAAACACTGCTCAGGCCTCAGCTAGAGATTGTGTTCAGTTCTGGGCACCACAATTTAAGAAGGATGTCAAGGCATTGGAGAGTGGTATGGAGATTGACCAGGATAGTACCAGGAATGAGGGACTTCAGTTATAAGGAGAGGCTGGAGAAGCTGGGATTATTCTCCTTGGACCAGAGGAGACTTAATAGAAGTTTTCAAAATTATGAGGGGATTCGATAGGGTAAACAAGGAGAAACTATTTCCACTGGCGGGTGGGTGGGTAACCTGAGGACACCGATTTAAAATAGTTGTTAAAAGAAACAAAGGGGAGGTGAGGAGAAATTTTTTCACACGAGTTGTTCGGATCTGGAATGCATTGCCTGAAAGGGTGATGGAAGCCGATTCAATAACAACTTTTAAGAGAGTAGATAATGATTTGGGGAGGACAAGTTTGCAGGGCTATAGGGAGAGCGCAGGGGAGTGGGATTGATTTGTGCAGCTCCTTTCAAAGAGCCAGCACAGACACCATGGGCCAAATGGCCTCCTTCTATGCTGTATAATTCTATGAGCTCTATGTGCCTCGCCAATGAGTTGTGCGTTCAAACCTTATGCAAATCCTTCTTGAGAGCCTGGAAGATTTTATCCTCGTTCTCAGTGAGCATTTTCTGCAGAGCCTTCAGCTGCTTCACACGGAACGCTAGAGGCCTCGTCCGGCCCGTTCTGTAGGCCATTCGGGCTCCTGCCACCGCCTGCTGAATCCCTTTCATCTCCATCGCTCTCAGTCAGCACACAGCGAACGGGAGCTAGTCAAGTCGTTACAAGGGTTCTGCCAGGGCCAAGAGAATAAAGATAATGATAATAATAAACCTTTCATTTGATATAGTGCCGTATCACGTCTTTGAGACGTCTCAAAGCACTTCACAGAATATACTGTAAAGTGTAGTGACTGGATATTTTTGTGGGCGAAACGCAGCAGCCAATTGCGCACAGCAGCGTCCCACAAACAGTCATGGATTGAGTGACCAAATTATTCTTTTTAAAAAGGGATTATTACCTCCGGAAAAGGGATCCGCCAATTGATTAACAACTGGGTGTCTAATTACTGCTGGGTAAACAGAGGCGTGTGGAGTAAAGAAACTTACTGCAATGTTTCACCCTGCGTGGGAATCGAGCCCAGGACCTCTTGTCTGCCTCCGTCTGTACCTGACAACCAACGCAGCCAAAACCCTCGTCCACACCTTTGTCACTTCCCGGTTGGACTATTCCAACGCCCTCCTCGCTGGTCTCCCCAGCTCCAACCATTCGCTAAATCCAATTAATTCTAAACTAGTTGAGACATTAAACCGAGGTCTCGACTGACTGCTCAGATGGAGGTTAAAAGATCTTGTGCCGCTATTCGAAAAACAGGAGAGTTTCTCTCTCCCTGGCCAGCAATCTCCCCAAATAAAATCAGCCTCTCACTTCACCACTGTTTAACCCACAAAATACTGCACTTTACCATGAACGATGCACCTCAATGAATGTGATAAGGAGCTGTACAATCCTGTAGCTCAGTGGTTAAGACCGAGTGGACCTGGGTTCAATTCCTCAGTTCAATTCCATTCAACCCAATTCAACTCCTTACTCCACTCGCCCTCTGTTCACTTAAATCAGTTCAGTAACGTAAGCAGTCGGTGGGAACCCGCTTTCCAGTCGACTGGCGGATCGCTTTTCCCCGGCGGCGGTGGGGGCGGCGGTCAATGGGGTGGAGGTGGGGGGGTTAAATAATCCCTTTGAAATAAATTTAAAATAATAATAATAATAAATAACGCGGTCACTATGATCCACGGCTGTTACGTGGCGCGAGGAGCCGCCGTGGGGGCGAGAGACACGGACCGAAATGCACAGCTTTTGACGGTAATATCCCGTGAGGCGCTTCGAGCCGTCTCAAAGGCGTGAGAGAAAGCGCCGTGTGAGAGTGTGTGTGAGTGAGTGAGTGTGAGAGTGAGAGCGAGTGAGTGTGAGAGTGAATGATTGAGAGTGCGAGTGAGAGTGAGTGACTGAGAGTGTGATTGAGTGAGTGTGAGTGAGTGTGAGAGAGTGAGTGATTGAGAGTGCGAGTGTGTGAGTGAGTATGAGAGTGAGTGTGATTGAGTTAGTGTGATTAAGTGAAAGTGAGTGATTGAGAGTAAGAGTGTGAGTGAGTGCGAGTGTGAGTGTGTGATTGAGTGAGAGAGTGAGTGTGATTGAGTGAGAGTGTGATTGAGTGAGAGAGTGTGAGTATGATTGAGTGAGAGTGTGAGAGAATGAGTGAGAGAGCGAGTGAATGTGAGAGTGAGTGATTGAGAGTGCGAGTGTGTGAGTATGAGAGTGAGTGTGATTGAGTGAGTGAGTGATTGAGAGTAAGAGTGTGAGAGAGTGAGTGCGAGAGTGTGTGTGAGAGTGAGTGTGAGAGCGAGTGTGATTGAATGAGAGTGAGTGAGTGTGAGTGTGAGAGAGCGAGTGAGTGTGAGAGTGAATGATTGAGAGTGCGAGTGTGATTGAGTGAGAGTGTGATTGAATGAGTGAGCGAGTGATTGAGTAAGAGTTTGAGAGAGTGAGTGCGAGTGTCTGTGAGAGTGAGTGAGTGAGAGTGTGAGTGATTGAGTGAGAGAGTGTGAGTGATTGAGTGTGAGTGTGATTGAGTGAGAGTAAGTGTGTGTGAGAGTGAGTGTGTGAGTGTGAGAGAGTGAGTGCGAGTGAGTGAGTGCGAGTGTGAAGAGTGAGTGTGAGAGAGAGTGAGTGAGTGAGAGCGATTGAGTGTGAGAGAGTGAGTGTGAGAGTGAGAGAGTGAGTGCGAGAGTGAGTGCGAGTGAGTGCGAGAGCGAGTGTGAGAGAGTGTGAGAGTGAGTGTGAGAGAGTGTGAGAGTGAGTGTGAGAGAGTGTGAGAGTGAGTGTGAGAGAGCGAGTGTGAGAGCGAGTGTTAGTGTGAGAGAGTGAGAGCGAGTGTGAGAGAGCGAGTGTGAGAGCGAGTGAGAGAGTGAGTGTGAGAGAGTGAGTGTGAGAGAGCGAGTGTGAGAGTGAGTGTGAGAGAGTGAGTGTGAGAGTGTGAGAGTGAGTGTGAGAGAGTGTGAGAGTGAGTGTGAGAGAGCGAGTGTGAGAGCGAGTGTGAGTGTGAGAGAGTGAGTGAGAGTGAGAGAGAGCGAGTGTGAGAGCGAGTGAGAGAGCGAGTGTGAGAGTGAGTGTGAGAGAGCGAGTGTGAGTGAGTGTGAGAGAGTGTGAGAGTGAGTGTGAGAGTGAGTGTGAGAGAGCGAGTGTGAGAGAGAGCGAGTGAGAGAGTGAGTGTGAGAGCGAGTGTGAGAGTGAGTGTGAGAGAGCGAGTGTGAGAGAGTGAGTGTGAGAGAGTGTGAGAGTGAGAGCGAGTGTGAGAGTGAGAGAGTGAGTGTGAGAGAGCGAGTGTGAGAGTGAGTGAGTGTGAGAGAGTGAGTGTGAGAGAGAGTGAGTGTGAGAGAGTGAGTGAGTGTGAGAGTGAGTACACGGTGTCCGGGGGTTGTGAGTTCAGTGTCAGAGGCTCCGCCGCCGCCGCGTTTCGCCCACAAATCAGTTGACTTTTCACAGCGCTGTGGATCCTGAGAGCGGCGCCGTATCAAACCCGAGGATTATTGTGAACTATTATTATTATTATTATTACTATGGAGCCCCTCCTCCCCCCCTCCCCCTCCTCCTCCTCCTCCCCCCCCCTCCCCCTCCCCCTCCCCCCCCCCTCCCCCCCCCTCCCCTCACCCTCCCCCACAACAACAACAACAACAACCACTCAGACCTCCTCCGCGCGCTTTCCCCGACGTGGCGTCTCGGAGCGCTTTCACCGGGAATGGAGCCCCGAACTCTCTCTCTCTCTCTCTCACCGACCAGTGTCAGTGAGGCCCCGGTGATGGTGTCGGTGGTGGTGGTGTCGGTGGTGGTGGTGTCGGTGGTGGCGGTGATGGCGGAGGGAGAGCGGCGGCGGCGCTGAGTCTCTTCTCCTCCTCTCTGGTGACCGGAGCCTCGGGCGCGCGCGCGCGGGGGGAGGGGGGGCGGTCCGTACGGCGCCCGCGACGGGACAACACATTCCTCCTCAGCGCCAAACGCGCTCATCTCGAAACGTACTGAGCTCTTCTCTCTCTACACCGCCCCCTCCCCTCACCCCCACTCCCCCTCCCCTCACCCCCTCTCCCCTCACACACACACCTCACCCCCACACACCCCCACACACACCCCCACACACACCTCACCCCCACACACCCCCACACACCCTCCCCCACACACACACCTCACCCCCACACACCCCCACACCCCCTCCCTCACACACACACCTCACCCCCACACACCCCCACACACACACCCCCACACCTCACCCCCACACACACCCCCACACACACACCTCACCCCCACACACCCCCACACACACACCTCACCCCCTCACACACACCACACACCCTCACACACACACCTCACCCCCTCACACACCCCCACACACACCCACCCCCACACCTCACCCCCACACCTCACCCCCACACACACCCCCACACACACACCTCACCCCCCCATACCCCCTCCCCTCACACACCCCCACACACCCTCACACACACACCTCACCCCCACACACACCCACACACCCCCACACACACCTCACCCCCCACACCCCCTCCCTCACACACACACCTCACCCCCCACACCCCCTCCCCCCCACACACACCTCACTCCCCCACACACCCCCACACACACACCTCACCCCCACACACCCCTCACATCCCCCCCACCTCCTCCCTCACACAACCCCCACACACACCTCACCCCCCCCCACACCCCCCCTTCACACTCCCCTCACATACCCCACTCATACCCCCTCACCTCGCCCCCCCGCCCCCACCACTTTGCCACTGTCAAAAGCTCGGGACGTTGCCCCCGCACAAAGGGCGCAAAATAAATGCAAGTTGTTGTTGTTGTTGTTGCAATACCTCCAGCGCCCAGAAGTGGGCAGCAGATGATCACACTCAGCATCGGGCACCGCAGCAAATGGAGGTCAGTCACCAAAGCCTTTGGTGGCGAACGTAAGGACACGAGAGAAACAGTTTGGAAGCCGATGGAGTGGGCCACGATCTTGGCCTTTCTGCGAGCGTCGACCCCAAAGTGTCCTAATGTTGGCAGTTCCTGCGGTGTTTACTGGTCTCGAGGGCCACTTTTTTTTGCCCATTCATCAACTCGACTGTAAACAAATGTATTACATTTCCATATGTTTGAGAAATCAGCAGCCGCCTGAGGGCAGTGTAGCCCACGTTCTCACAGCTCCCAACCCTCTGCGTGAAGGAACACGTTCTGACCTGGTGTCAAACCATTTCTTTGGTCTAATTAGATCATCAGGTTAAAAACGCCATTCAATTAAAAACTCTTAATTGCAACGCGCGAACCATAATCACTGCATTTGCTATAGCGCCTTCATGTCAGGAGGACATCTGAAAGCGCTTCACTGGATTTTACGGTTATGTGTATTGACTGTGTTTTATAGGCAAACATGACAGTCAATTTGCACCCAGCAATGTCCCCTAAACAGCCATTTATATTGGGATTCTCAGGACACCAGCACGAGAAACTCTGTTCACTTTCCAAATAAGGCCACAGGATCTTTAATGTCCGACTGAAGAGGCGGCTGGGATCTTGGTTTAACGTTTCGTGCATCCCCAGCACTGCATTGGAGTTTTAGCTACCACTATGAATAATAATAATTTTTGCATTTGATATAGTGCCTTCAAGACGCCTCAAAGCGCTTCACAGAATATAGTGTAAAGTGTAGCGATTGTGTTTTGTATGTGAAACTCGGCAGCCAATTGCGCACATCACTGTGTCGTGGATTGAATGACCAAATTTTTTTTTTAGAAAAGAGATTATTACCCCTGGAAAGCGATCCATCCGCCAATCGACTAACAACCGGGTTCCTACTTACTACTTGGCAAAAAGGAAAAATACCTGAATCAAAGTCCTGACATGGGGTTTGAACCCACAATCTTCCACCTCAAGAATCGAGATTGCTAACAACTGAGCCAGGCTCACTGTAAAGGGAAATCCCATTAACGGCCAACATCGACAAAGGTGACGATGGAATATTCAACTATCATCTCTCCTACACTATGATTCATCTCACCGATAGATCCATTAACATCCCTTCTCCCTCCAGTGATACAGAACTCAGAACTTCACCAGTGCCAGGAATATACCTGTTATTATTATTATTCTTCACACAGCAACTAAGACTCAGTTTTGCCTGTTATTATTCTAAAAACAGGTAAGTAATATAATAATAATCCTTGCATTTGACATAGTGCCTTATTATGTCGTTGAAACATCTCAAAACATCATCACAGAATATATTGTAAAGTATTTTGTGGACAAGATCCATATAATGCATTGCAAAATCTGGTGCAGCTTTTATGAAGCCATCTGTCACAGGACAAATGTAGAGTGTAAGTACAAGTGCTTGTGAATCAGCAGAGTTCATTAAATTGCACCCATCAACAAAGCACCTTAATACAACCCTGATTTACTGCCATTTAAGAATCTTAAATATGCTCCGAGCACCTTCAACTCTGCTCGATTTTGTTGTTCAGATGATACGTTACAAATGGGATTCTTGTCCTAAATGGTTCAGACAGAAACCATCCAAGTTCATCAATGGATAAAGATAATTTATTATCCCTTTTCCATTCATTCCCGTTATCTTTGTGCCATATTTTTTGAGATAAGATTATCAGACACACATGGCAGCCTGCTCAGCATCGTCGTCATCCAACCTGCTGTCACTCAGGGGATTGGGGTCAATGCTCCTCAGGGTTCCTCTGCTTCACCCCAGCTCAAGAGAGGAAAGTAATCTCAAGGCACGAGTCAGCTAATACAGCTATCAGCAAGAGAGTTACAAGGTAAGGTTCATTATTGGCACGGCATGGTCGAAGAGGAAAGTATTGAGTCAGGCCTTGAAGGAGACAAGGAAGGGGGCAAAACGGAGGGCCTCTGCGATGCAAGTTCCAGAGGGTGGGTGCAGAAAGGCTAAAGACCCCACCTCTGATGGTGGAGCAGGCAGGGCAGGAGGATGGGGGTGATCGGCTCACGGAGTTTCGTGTGGGTCTTCCCAATTTCCCCATTTTATCCCTTCAGATTATCCTAACACAGAGAACTTTTATTGACCAGCAAAGTAATCTGAGGCCGGCCCCCTTCTGTCTATTTTTAATCATTAAGATGGCAGGCAGGGTTAATAACAAGAGGGAAAAGATTTAAGAAATCAATACAAACTAGTCATTAAAACAAAATCAATTCAAAATGCACATCAGCAACGGTTGGATTAAATGTAATGTGACACAATTTCTGCAAGACGTCATGAAAGTCAGTAAAAAAGGCCAGAATAGCGTATGATTAATCAATGGCTCCAATAAACCCTGCAATTACTATTGCATTAATGATAAGAGTGTTTTCTAATTGTGTGCTGGTTATTCTCCTGGGCTACAGAAAGCTCAATAAGCCAGGCAGTCACATTCTGTAATGTTTCTTCACATTACTGATGGATATCAGGTCAGTAGTTTTTAGTCAGAGTCAATATCATCTGGTTCAATTTCCGATCTTAAAAAGGAAATGAACTGCAAGGATAAAAGTCCTTCAAAATTATTCAGCACAGTAATCCTTGTACTCTTGTTCTGTAGAAATTATTATATTTATTGCCGTTTCCAGGCTCAATTCTCCCCCACCTCCACAAAATATAGTCAGTTCACCTTACAGTATATTCTGTGAAGCACTTTGAGACGGCTCGAAGACGTGATAAGGCGCTCTATCAAACGCTATATCAAATTATTATTATTTGCTGCTAATGGGAGTGACTCAGTTCACATGTGCCTGCTTCTCTCCAGTGCCTTAGCTGGTGTGAATCCATATATTGGGGGGGCGGGCAGGGGGAAGAGCACCAGAAGAGACCCTGGGCATGTGGACGTCCTCCCGACGTGAAAGGCGCTAAACAAATGTAATTTTGTTGTTGTGCTAATTGTATAGTGATGGAGTGGGCAGCCTGACCAAATTACCCCTGCAGAGGATGTGGTGCTTAACATTGGTTACAACATTAAGACGATTTTAAAAAAATCTAGTTAGCCTTTCTGCCCACAATAGCTTGGCAGGGTGCCTGTCTCTCAACACCCACTCAACATCTTCTCTTTGATCACCACTATCCATCTTTTTTTAATAATAAAAACTTTAGATGTGAGCAATTGGCGTTTTGCCCATTTCTGGTTTCCCTGAGAAAGTGGATAGTTACCTGGGGAATTGTTGATTAAGAGACCAGGATGAATCTCCTTAAACTGCAACCTCATACTTTTCTTTGCAACCTTTTATTTCCAACCAGAGGCCGTTTAAAAAGCCAATCGCGCAACACGGAACTGGAGTCAAGATCCAGGCCAGACCGGGTAAGGATGCCAAATTTCCATACCTTGAAGGGTATTAGTGAACCAGTTCCATTGTTAGGAAAATCTGGCAGCTTCATTGCTTTTTTTTCTCTCTCTCTCTCTCTTTCTCTGGTCCAAGTTCAAATTGACAAACAAAAATCAGATTATACACAGCAGGATTCAAACCCAGCGTCCCTTGGCACCAATCCAGCGTCTTTACCACAACACTACTGTGCACATTTCAATCTCTACTTCACATCAACGCAGGCAACATCAAGTCATTTTTTTCCCCTGGAGATCTTATTTTGTGGAGATCATCGGATGGAGAGATGTCCAATTTTGGTGCCTGTTGTTTTACCAAGATTTACCAGCAGCCTGATGGATTATGTGACGCACACTTTGTGCACAACCTGATGTCCTGCGAAATAACACCATCAAAGCGCATTACATTCGGTGGAACCACACACCTCAAAAGCTAGTGTCTTGGATAGGGGAGGAAAGAAAAGTCATTAGATCTGCAGTAAATGGACTCCCTAGCTGGAAGTCATTAACTGTGGAGCCATTGAAAATCTGTAGGTTAATAATTCACCTGCATTAGCTATTGAACATCCTGCAAAGGGAAATTTTCCAAATCCTTCACAAATGCAGTCCTGTTGTGCACAGTGAGACAACCTATTTGACTCCTTAAATCTGAACATTTTTAAAAATATATATTCTCAGCTGAAGACTAATGCTGTCTTTACAGTACAGTACCTGATCTGTATCAGTAACTAGAAGCAGAAGTGGAGAGGCAGAGTAGGAAAGAGCCAAATGCTGTAGTTTCTAAACATATGACTTGATGAGCCAAGCCTTTTCCAGTGCACCCACCAGAGCAAACTCGGATCCCTGATGGCCAATTACATTCCATGATTCCAGCAAAGAAGCAAGTGGCCTTGCCAAACTAATTGAATTCTAGGTCAGTACCCGGCAGCAGGCAGTGTTCTAATGCTCGGTCTCTAATGAGAAGAGAGCTTCAAACCAGAGTGAATGACATCCCCTCTGTTTTAACCTCAACATGTAGGACGATCCAATGGGAGGTGGAAAAAAAAGGGGCCAAATATTTATAGATGTGTCAAGAGGAAGCTTGCAGGTTTGCATCTGTGTCTTTGCCACATGCTGAATGACTATGAACTGGAAAGATGGGCAATTCTAATCCTAAAGGGCAGGACAAAAATAGGCAAACAAAAACCATCGGGAGGGGGCGGGGATTGGGAGGAAAGAAAGCTTCACTGAATAAACCAAGGGTGCCAGATACCAGATGGATTGATTGGGTTGAGGGACCTGATTCCGTGCTTTGTGTTCCTTGTAGATAGCTCGTCATTTGTTAAAACCACAGTTTCAAATAAAAATTTTAAATCTCATAAATCACAAGTATGCGTTTCGTGCACGGTAGTCGCGTGAAGCCGTGGATTAGATTGTACAGCAGTTTGTTATGAGATATCTAATGTTTGATCAAAGTGACCAATTATTCTGTAAAATATATGGTAGTATCAATCGCTTCCTCTGACAACCATCACCTAGCAGTAGACGTCAATTTTGATCAGGTTGTACAGTCTGTTATTTCTCAGTCTGCGCTCATACATTAAAAACTGCTCAATTAGGTGACGTAACAGAGCTGCTGACACATGCGGATCTGAACACCAGCAAGAGTTAGTGTTTACGAAGGGGGAAAAGGGGAGAGAGAGAGAGAGCGATCAACGGCAAGTGTAAATTGCTGTGACAATAGCACTCTCCCCTCACTCTACATATTGTAAACTAAAAGGGAATCCATTAATATTCCAGGACGATTTTATTTCTGGCTCCTTAATGTACATCTATACAAGCCATATTAAAAAGGCTGCTACATAAGTCAATGTGTCTGCAACCTGATTTGAGAGAATATGCATGCCATTATACACAAATGAGAGGTAGAAACACTGTATTAAAGACCTAATAGTACAAATATTTTATAAATAAAAACAGTCTTCAGAATTAATGGAATTGCTTAGATAAATAAAACACATTAGTTTCCTTTGTATAAAGCAAGAGAGCAAACAGTTTGGACAAGCCTCCTGAAAAAGCTAAACAAAGTCCTTGCTACATGGGAGATGTTCAGTCATATTTCAAATCCACTGTCTCCAAGAGGTTAAACATGATCGTATGAAGGATTTAGTTCAAGTATTCAAGCAGTTGAATAACAAAAATACTCAAGGGTGGAAAAGTGTTCTGTAACTCTAGAGCAGGCGACTGTTTTACCGACTTGCTAGGATCAACATCTTGTGAACGGACTTTCTGCCCCGGTTTGTTGGGCAGGAAGCAAAGTTATGCGAACAAGGTGCTAAAAAGAGGTTAAAAAAAAACATTGTAGGGGAAAACCGAAACAAGATCTCCACACAGTGACTTCTGAATCATACCTAATGAGCACCACACAGTTTTTTTTTTCCAAAATGCGCTTTTTGTGTCTATATACCACACACTTCTTTTAAATTACAAAAATAAAATTTCCAACTGAATATCCTTTCAGATCCTGTCACGGGAACACTTGGGAGCATCATGTCCGTCTGACCTTCCCAAGACACCCAAGAGATAACTTCTCCCTGAACTAGGCTTTAAGCCTTAGCCAGCCCTCATATCACATACAATACAAAAATGGACTATTGTGCTTATTCGCTTGGTTACATAAAATATATACACAAGGATTGGAGTTGAATAAGTTCCTTAGCTCTAGACACAAAGTTACACATGGCCCTCCAGTTACCCAACTGGGCTTGAACAAGCCAATCTGGCTTTGGATCCAATTCCCAGGGTCCCAATACTTTTACCACCCCTGCAAATACTAATATTATGTTAGTCTGTACAACACCAAAATGCTTTATCTCCATAATACTGTCTGAACAACAGCATTAGTAATACAGTATTATCATGCCCAGTGGCCCTGGTTTCAAACACACTTATTACATGCATAACATAAAGCCAGCCCCCAAAGTTTTTTTTTAAAAGTCAGCAAACAATCACTGGTGCAAAAAAAAAAGGAAAAATACTAGTTTCATTATACAGTTTGTTTTTCTATATCAACTACTCAAGTATTTAGCAAGTTTAAAAAAATGGAAAGGCTTGTAATTAATACAGGCTTGCTTTTTTGTTTGCCGTCTTAATTGAAACTTCAAGCACTTTTGTGCTCTCGAGCGCCAAAAGGTCTCTTTTGTTAAATGGAGCTCATTTAACTGGTACAGTTTCTCTTTTCCTATTCTTGCAGCTTCTAGATCACAAGGAGTCCTGCATAACAGTACTGTTATCAAAGATGTCCAAATAGTAGTAGTGCAATCAGAAGTGGTTCTATAGGAGCAAAATTCTTTGTGGTTTCAACTGCTCCTAATGTTTTGGGAGCAAAATTTAGCTTGCTTTATCCATCCAAAAGACTGCCCGTTTCCCTTCTGGTTTACGTCAGGGGGTTGGCCCAGGCCGTAAGCTCCATGAGTTCCCTACGAACTTCCTATCCACATAAAGTGCTCATCTCCTCTTCCAAGATCAGTTTTGTCGGTTTGATGTGCATGTGAAGAAGCATCAGACGGATTGGCAAGGCAACATGCCTCTCACTACCTGTAGATTGGGGCAACACTTAAAACTGCAGTAAAAATCTGTTTTCACACATCACGTCATTAGTGTCTTTTTTAAAAAAAAATCATTGGCAAAAGGACAAATTTGTCGAGTTGCCACAACATAGTCCTGTATATATGCAACAAATGTATCAGACCAGGCACAAAGTTCCTCTGTAATCCTTCTCTCCGAACATAGGTTTCAAGTACCCAGCGAGTTCTTGGTGAAATACAGAAGTTACAATTCAATTGTACTCCCAAGCTTTGTGTCAGCACACTCCACTGATAACTGGTTTCAGAAGCAATACATCGGTTCCACATTTTACCTCTTTGAGGCAAGTGAAAATGAAAGAATTTGCTACATCACTGAGGGTTCTCAGGAGTTCTACTTTATATTTATATACATAAATTCCTTTCTTTTGCATCAAGAACTCTTCTTTGGTAACTTATCAAAACAGAAGTCAAGCGTCCTTCACTTAGTAAGCTGACATCAGCTGAAAAAAGTAAAAGCGGGAGGAATATCTTTTCTGAATAAAGAAATGCACAAAAATAAAAGGCGACTCCGAGACGCTGGGGTTTAATCCAGGGGAGGTGGTCCCTGCTCTGAGGGAAGTGGTCCATTATGGAAGGCTAGTTTTCATACAAAGCCACCGTGCCATGACAGAGTGCAGAAAGTCTGCGTTCAATGCTGGTCTTGTCTGTAATTCAAGAAAAAAAAACATCTTAAAAACAAAATACCACTTGCAAAATGTACCTTTAATAGATCTTAAGTCATACAAAAGAGGGAGCATGTATATGAGGAAGACCAAGGATGAAGCCCTGGGGTGGGGGCAGGAAGAGAAACAGTTTGAAGAGACAAAGTGGAGGTGGTTTGTCAGGTAGAACTCGAACCAGGCTAGTGCGGTCCCTCTAAGGTGGATGAGGGAGGATAGGTGGTGGTTGAAGATGGCGTGGTCAACTGTAACGAACACAGCAGAGAGGTATAGGATGACGAGGAAGCAGAGGGAGCCCAGGACACAGAGGACGTCGTTTGTGACTTTGACAAGCGCCGTCTCTGTCCTACAGTCAGGGTGGAAACCAGCCTGGAGGGGCTCGAGGAGAGCAAAGCTGGTTAGCGACATCGCAACAGGGTGGGATGGGGATTGAGGCAGCAGGTGGTGGGCTTCATCTGGCAGATGGTGATTGAGAGGGAGAGGAGAGTAATTGAGGCAAAGGAGTGTAGGGAGGGCAGAGTGGTAGGGGCCTTGGTGGAAGGAGGGGTTGGTGTTGACAGTCTGGGGTGTGGAAGGGGACATAGGGGAGGAGGATGCAGCCAAGCGGTTATTTTCAATTTTTGACACAAAGATGTCAAGAACGACTTTGCACTTGGCATTGACGTGGCAGCAAACTGCACACAGCAGTGTCCCACAAACAGTTTTGGAATGAGTAACCAAATTATTAATTCATTTTCTTTGAAGGGATTATTATCCCCAGAAAAGCGATCAGTCAATCAACAACAACTAGGTTCCTATTACTGCTAGGTAAATAGAGGTGCGTGGAGTAAGGTAACTTGCCTAATGTTTCACCCGGGATTCGAACCCAGGTCCTCTCGCTTGCAAGGCGAGTTCTCTAACCAATACGTTACAGGACTCCACAAGTCCACAAGGATATGATGTTTACAGCACTTAATGGTTCACCAGCTAGCTGGATCTGAACAATCTTTAAAAGGAACCTTACATTTGTGAATGTTATCTATATCAGACGGATCTTGCAGAATCTTTGTCAGCCCTTCCAGCAGCAATGCTGCTTTGTGATACCGGTACGTGATGTCCTCTGTTTGCTGGAACATTTCATCAAGTGCTGCTGACTGCACCTAGAATTAAACAGAGTCTGAGCAACTACTTTAAAATTCAGACCATTCAGAGCTGCACAAAATCCTGGAAATAATAATTCAAGAGGCTTTTCACCTTAAAAGGACTTTATTATATGGTTAACATTGGGGCTGTTTTAGAACCAAACGCAAGGACTTAACAAATACATCATGGGTTTCTCCAGGTCTTGTTACTGAACTGAGAAGTTCAATCTTATTGCTCCCTGGTGCTACGCTACCCCTTGAAACAGCCAATCCAACATCTTGAGAACTAACAGAATACTTTGACGGTGGTTATATTATTTACAACTGAAACTCAAATGTGAATTAAACAAGTTCAAGATTAAAGGTAAAATAATCTGCCAATACATTTTATGATCTTTATAATATTTTTCATCTCGATTTCCATCCCCTTTCCACAGTACATCCAGTGGTAAGACAGAACCAACTGGACCACAGACTTTCTCACAGCACTAATTCTTCAAGACACCACCCAAACAGGAGGCAGGTTTTCACATATGAAATTTCCTTCAGACAGCTTTTTTTCTCCCCTCCAGTTCCCCAGAATTGTTGTCATGAAATTGTCAAGAGATTGTTTTCACCAAATAAACTGATGATTGTGCTTTTATTTCTTATGCATTATTGATATCTCAAAAAAGAATCAAGTGGAGTTGATTCTCTATCCCTCCACCCACCAAACAAGCTGAAGCAAGCAGATAATAATTACCATTTCTACAGCATAGCTGTAGATCAGTTTCTCTGCAGTAACACTGTTGATTTCATCTACAAATCTTTGTTTATCAGAGAAGAACCGATTCAGCTTCTCTGTCATTTTCTTGCAAAAGGAGATGCAACACTTGTAGCGGTCGTTCAAGCTTTTAACAACTACATGAGAGAAGGGACAACAACTCAAGGTTAATCTATTGCAGGCTTTACAATTCAACACTGTTTTCTAAAAGCCTATAAAAACACAGACATTTAATAGCTTTAACCAAAGAGGTTGTTCTGATAAATACATTGTAGAACTGAACTTATTGCAACTGTGAACAGATCATGTTACTAATACCGATGCAGATATATTGGCAACAATTTTAAATGATCAATCAGTTCATCGAATACTGGCTATCAAGTTGCAATTAATGACACTGTATATCATTAATGACACCGTATATCACAAGTGACCTTGGATAAAATGGCGATATGTTATTCTGTGAATCTCCTTTTGGAGAAAGACGAGCATGTTGGACAAGTCATGTTGCATTCAGTGAAGTAAAATGCTGAAATGAATGGATAAAATGGATGCAAGATATTATGATGCCGTACACTGCATTAGTGCAGCAACAGAACCATAACCCACAAGTACATATATAAGGATTCACCGATCCCATTGCTGACCATCAATATATTTGTAGATATTCTAAAGAAGCCATTGTAGGTTATTACAATACCTCAAATTTACTTTACCCCCTTGATACTCTTTTCAGAATAAAATAACTTCTATTGCTACAATGCTCTGGAGTCATTGAGTAGAAACAGGCCTTAGAAGCACCTTGCTTAACAGCTGTGGATGGGTTCAGCTTGCCAGATTTAACACGGTCTTTAGCCAGGTGAAGAGAGGATGCCAAGAGTTGTGCTCCTTTCATGTACAACACAAGCTGCTCAACTTGCCTGCAAGACCAAGAGATACATAAATAAGTACTTCAAATGTTACATTCCCCGAGTCAACTGAATCTGAATCCAACTCTGAGTCTCTACTTGGCACTGGCTTTTGGAAGCCATTGTTTATTTATCAATTTGGTTTCATGTACTAAATGGACTGCTCTAGGGAAGGAGAGCCAAACATTTGCTTGCCACTTAAACGTGGTAGAACAATAAAACCACCAAAGCTCTCTTTGCACAAGTAACTCTAGTTTTCAATCTGTCAGGTTTCCATTCAATTGAACTTTGTAATACAGTTTGTACTGCTTTATGTTCATCTACAAAAGGGCAAAATGACAAGTACAAACCCCCACTCCTTGCTGAGACGACTGATCTGGTCAACAACAACACTCTCTTGGATCTGGTACAGTGAGGCACCTGAGGTTCCCAGGTCAGAGCCACCTCCTTTCATCACTGCGATGTCCATAATGCACTCCACAAATGTCAGCATTGTATTTAAGTGCCGCAAGGTGTCTGTGTGTTCCCTCTACAAATTGACATAATAGGAGAGAAAGTGAATTTATTTCTGTCCTTTCATGTAGTCGGACAGAATATATAGTATAATCAACCCAAAATATAAATTGAAAACATTTTAAAACAGTTTCATAGAACAGAAGTTATTAGCCCGACCTTTTAAATATGCACATCAACATGGTTAAATGAGAAGATGGAAGTGTTAATATTCTGGAAAATCTAATGGGCCAAAGAACCTTCTTGAACTGGACTTCTCTTGTAATCACTTTTGTTTTAAATTTCACAGTCAGTTCACTTTACAGTATATTCTGTGAAGCACTTTGAGACATCTCGAAGACGTGATAATGCACTATGTAAAATACAAGGATTATAATTATCATCATCATCATCACTTGACTTTTATTGCAGGAGTGAATGTGAGTAACCAGCGAGTACGTCACCAATCTAAGAATCATTGCTGCTGAGAACAGAGTTTCCGAGCAATAAATACCACAATGACTGTGCTGCTGCAGCATTTTAGTGTTCCAGTATGCAGTAATTAATATAGGGAACATGGATTTGAATCAATATAGCCAAATGAGCCAGGCTGTTATTTAAGCTGGAGCCAGAAATTGCCTGGGGGCAAGGGATCCCCTTTCTGATGAGGTAGTTCTACGCAGAAACTATTTGCCTTGGATTGGCAGCGCTTTGTGTTTACATCTCAGCTGTTCTTTTCCAAACCCTCACATGACCCAAATAACGCAAGAGCCAGGGATTTGCCAATGGCACAAGTGACTAAGTGTCACGTGACCAGTAAGCTCAAATGGGAAGAACATCAAGAAACTTGTAAGCAGATTTGTTGTTTTTGGTAAACAAGCTGCTCGAGTTGCTGATGCACTTTGTAATGCAATCACGTCAAGCTACATCAGTCATCACACAGACACAGGAAGCCTCACAAGTCAATCAAACATTCACGTCTGCAGAAAGTTGTATGCAAGAATTAACATGACAAAGCTATTGATATACGACCAGTGTGCATTGTCTCATCTCTCCTGCCTCTCTAAGCAGCAAAAACATTAAGCGTACAACTATAAATACATTTTAAGTGACTTCCTGTTGTAGTCTTAAAGAAATAAAAAAGGAAGTACTCTATATACTACCATTGAAAAGCACAACAAGTGGGAATTGGTGGTGCAACTTGTATTTAGCATAGTAGTCAAATAGATGTAACATTGTTCCTGTCACAGACGAGATTCTTTTCTGGGGATTCTCTGCATTCATTTTGTTACCATCCACTAAGCAGCCCATGGCTGCTGGCTGTTAAATCACCATGTGCCATATACAATGGCATCACTGTTCTCATGCAATCCCATTTACTGCTGGAGCCCAATGGAATGAGGCTGTAACTAACTAGAGGTGGCTCACATTCAGCCAACTTGGCAAAATACCACAGGTACAAATGTCCATGGAACCATAATCCAGCAACTTCAGAAGAGGGGAGAAAATTGCAGGTGAAAATATATATTGTATATAAAGAGTTAAATTGCCTATATCCCATTAAGTAGGTACTGCTTAGGACATTAAAAGTAACAAGTGCTCTCCTCCATTTCTCTCACAGCCTTCAATTCCCCAGTATCTCTGCTTACCCCTTTCGCTGTTGAAGCTTTTCACCATTTGAGTTACGGAGAGGGTTACACTTGCTGCCCCTTTAGGGGGCGGTACTTACATTGCACTGCAGGCCAATTTATAAAGATCTCCCATTGCTCAACATTAACATTTTTGAAATCTAGGCACAAAAAATTGATAACAACTTTGCTATCTGTATTTGACTACAACATTTAGGACAACAGACATAGGCAATTTTCCACCACCCTATGATTCCACAAATTACAGGGACTACTCATAATAATCCTTGCATTTCATATAGCGCCTTATCACATCGTTGAGACATCTCAAGATTGTATATTGTGGGCAAAACTCGACAGCCAATTGCACACAGCAGTATCCGACAAACAGTTGTGGATTGAATGACCCAAATTGCGTGCGGAGTAAGGAAACTTGCCTAAGATTTCACCCTGCCAGGAATCAAACCCAGATCCTATCGCTTGCAAGGTGAGCATACTCACCACTCAAGAAATACTTAAAACGAATATCTGGCTCCGGCTCAGTTGGACTTACCAATAGCTGGAGAACTCACCTCCATTAAAGTCTCCTCGGGCAAATCTGGAGCTTCAAATGTGATAAATCCTTCTAAGCTGGGAGGGGAGGTACCAAACGTCATATACTTCAAACTTGAAGGGCCCTCGGCTCCTGGAGGTGAGGTGCCCATGTAAGCGCCTGGTGGGGAACCCATGTAAATCCGGCCACTGTAGGAGCACAGAGACCCCAGGGGGCTACTTGAGCCAACTAAAATAAAAGAGGGTGATAGATAAGCAGAAAGAATACATTGCTATCAAAAGTATTTTACTGACTGCACAGCCAAGAGGAGACGACATGCTTGTATTTGTTTTCTTTTCTTCAGACTTCAATACAAATTTTTAAAAGATGGTCATAGTAAAAAGTATGAAAACTGTTGTAAATGCACTTCAATTTTTGTAAATACACCAACAAAGTCAAGTTTGCTCAGAACATGAATTGTTTTATACTCTGGCAGCGTAATTGTGAAGTAAGGGTGGATGTGCCATTCTAAGCAAATGTCTCATGGACTATCCCATCTCTAACGTCAACCCTCCTTCCCCAAACCAACTGACCACTGGGTAAACCAGTGTCTCCAGTAGGCCAAATCCCTACAGCAGTTTAATTTCTCAGTAGTCAAGTCTTACCTGACATTGTTCTTGCTCTGGTGACCATATGACTACTATGGGGAGGGGTGACACTACTGGGTGGTGAACCTACAGTGAACACCACAGTCCTTGGGCACACTCCTATTACCATGGCAGGTGAACCCATTGTCAAACCAGAAGCACCTGCTGGAGCTGAGGCAGAAAGAAAAAAAAAATCACGATAACAGAAGAAATAGTGCAAAAATGTGTTGACTGCAAAAATAGCAAATAAATAAATAGAAAATACAAAAAAACTGCCCATTCACCTACGTTTGCTTTGTGCACTATTTCTACTCTGAACAAAACATTTTAAAAAATATACACTTGCTGGTTGAAGCAGAACACTGATATACCAACAAGTTGTACTGCAGAGTGGCTTACAATGTAGCTTGTGCCCTCTTTTCTCAAAGGGTAATCCTAAAAAAAACCTCAGCTGGGCCACTTGGGAGAAGGTGCTCAACACAGGCAAATATACTTTCCTGGACAAAAGTACAGGGTGGACAAAAATTTGTGATACCATTACAATGTCTAATAAGTCTTAAAAGAAATTATGANTTTTTTTAGATAATATGACCTTTTGATCACTCTATACAAATGCAAAATTGTTCCTAGTGACTAGTCAGAGAGCAACAATGATTCTGAGAAGGTTATCTGGCCAATGTCTGGAACTGTACATCAAGAAACACAAGAAATGAAATACAATTACGTTACCATTTTTGAAAAGTATTCAGATATCACGACCTTCTAAAAATATATTCTGCCTTATAAAATCTTTTTTTTCCTGCTGCAATGTCGCTTTCTTATGTGAAGGCATCAAGTTACACTGAGACACAGCGGGACAACAATCCTTCAAAATCTGGCGCCAATATGCCATTAAATTTCTGGAGCGATGGAGGGAGAAGAAATCACAGTGAAGCTCAAGCCAATTCTCATCCAATATCCACATGTGTTACTTTAGGAGATATTAGTGGATAGTGATCAATATTGGGAAACGTGGATGATTTTTTTTGAACCTCCCTTAACCCAGGGAGAAAATAAAAAGATGGAGGCTCCAGCTAACAGCACAGATCTGGAGCCAAACCTGCAACCTTTTTGGTCTCCACACATGAGTACACCACACATTACATAGCCAATCTGTTACTACAAATATCTTGCATTTGGAACAGACTAAATATTGAGTCATGGGTGTAGATTAGATTTGTCAAGCATTTTGACATGTTCCTTTCCACTGGAGTAAATGCAAATTACGTTCGAGATATTGGAATGTTCAAGCTAGTTTTGTGCTTTACAAGTTCATAAAAATATTTTTAGCATGGAATATAAATTCAATTGTGTTTTCAGAAGGTGGACGGGAACACTAAAAATGTTTTTTATCCCCCCATTTTCCTTGATTTAACAGGAATTCTGCATCAGTAACAGAACTTTGCTCCTCAGACCTGCCTTTCAGTGATGGCTGATCAAAGGTACAATGGTGGTTGTTTTGTGCTAATACACTGAAGTGCTAAAGTCAGAGATAGGCGGTCCTGGGATTTCCTCTACATACTGTTTTTTTTAATAACTCCGATTAGCTGGGAGACCCAGAGAATAAAAACTGGAGGGTAAATATATTCAATACATTTCTAAGCAGTTGACAAGAGGGTTAGTGGAGATCGAGTCACTCAGTCGCCACTTTTTCATTCAGAGAATAAGGCGCATTAAGGAGTTTGGGAACAGCCAATCTCTTTTCCAACTGTGCCAAACCCAAAACTGCCCTCAACAAAAGGAGACGGATTGGTGGGAGATATGTGACAAGATGTTTCCCTTACCTGTATCCATTGGGCGTTCCGTATTGAGACTGTCCGTGCTGCCTTGATAGGGTTGTCCTCCGAACGTAGTCCTGACTAACTGCTCTGACAATTTTCCGGTACTTACTGATCTAGAAAAGATAAAACTTATTATGTTCAGTGTAATCAAAACTTTTTCTAATAGGCCATGCATTTTGGTGCATATGTTAAACCTACAAAAGCCACCTTTATATATTTCTACAGCAACAACTTGCACTTATGTAGCGCCCTCCACACAGGGTAGTGTCTCAGAACAGTGCTGAAAAGTGGCGGAGTCTGACTCCGAGCCGGGGTGCAGTAAGGGGAAGGTGACTGTAAGTACAGTTGAAAAAGAAGATTTTCAGGTGGGACTCGAAAAAAGGGAGAGAGTGGGCAAGGTGGAGGGATTGAGGGAGAGTGTTCTAATATTTCGAGGGCATAGTAGCTGAGAGCACGACCTTCAAAGGTGGAGCGGACGGTGCAAGGGAAAAGCAGAAAGCCAGTGCCAGTCTAGGGGAGGCGCCGGGTGGTGGATTGGGGGGGTGAGGAGGTCGGAGAGATAGGGAGTTGCTAGGAAGTGAATGGATTGAACACACTTGTGAGGATCTTGAAGTTGATCCGTTTGGTGATGGGGAGCTAGTGGAGCCTGGCCAGAACTGGTGAAATGGACTTCTATTATGAAGTTCTCAGTTCTCTCCAAAACAAATATGAAAATAGTCAATCAACATATTTTAATATCAAGTGAGTATCCGTTTCTCTTTTGAAAGATTGTTTAAATCCCACGAGCAGAAGAAAGCTTATTTGTGTGCTTGCGGGATTCAAACAATTACAATGTCGGTTCTGGCATTGTAATTCAAACAATTATGGTGTTTGAATTGTAAACAACGACAAAATTACATTTATAGAGCGCCTTTCACGTCGGTAGGACGTCCCAAAGCGCTGAACAGTCAGCTGTGGGGGCCCGAGCATGGGGGAGGGGTGGTATAGGGGTGAGGGAGACCAAAAGCACGGTCGAAGTGAAGGGTCCTGAGACGAGCCTTGAAGGATGTGACGGAGGAAGCAAGGCGAAGGGACAGTGGAATGGCTTTCCAGAGTGTGGGGGCATGGAAATAGTAGTCATATTGAACTGTAAACATGGTCATTGTTTACAATAATGTGTACATAACCAGAAGTTCTTCGCCAGACCGGAACTCCTCGTTAGTTCGGCTCTCTCTCTATACACACACACACACACGACATTTAAATGTATGATGTACAAAAAAAATTCAAGAAAACCAAATGTACCTGCCAAAAGTGGTCTTGTTATCCTCAGAAACTGCATGTTTCACTTGTGAACTGTGATAAGTGGTGAACTCCCTTACTTCCAACATGGCTTTGGACTGTGCTGGAATCTCAGCTAATCCTTGCTGTGCAACCAAGGCAAGCAGATTTGAAGACGCTTGAGTTTTAGGAAGCTTGAGAGGAGCAGTGGCCTACATAGCATAAAGATAATAGATTTAAATTACCTTGGACATATTAATCAGCAACTCAAGTTGCAAAAATCACAAACTATGAAATACAGAATTTGAGCAGTAAAGGTATTTAAGTTTACCAACCTTTGTTGGTGACCCAATGATAGTAGGTAAAGGGGTTTTGTGCAACCAATCTGAACTTCTGGGGGATGTTCCCATATGCTTTGTGGGAGAAGTACCAAGGCTTACTGGCCTACCAGGCTGAGGAGAATGACTGCAACCATAGCCAGCTGATGAAGGATAGACTGGATCAGAGTGCTGTTTGCGTAGTTTTTGCTTGTTCTGGTAAATGTCAGTGAGGGTTGGGGCACTCTGGAGTCTTGCACCCATTAAGTGCGACTGTGGTGAGGGTGAACCTAGAAAGGCAGATATAAAGTGTTGCATACTCATTTTGAGAAACAGCAATATACTAGCAAAACTACATAGCAAAAGCATGTTCCTTTGCCCACAAAATACAGTCAATCCACTTTACAATATATTTTGTGAAGTGCTTTGAGACGTCTCAATGGCATAAGGTGCTATATCAAATGCAAGCATTCTATATTATTAAATGAAGTTGGCCTCACCTAGATAAATTCACCTCTCTCCTTTGTTGATGTATAGGGGAGATGAGCACAAATGAGTTTAGAGGGGCTGAACCCAACAGAAAGACCTCAGAAAGGGTATTAATGTGGTGAAAATGACTAGAGTAACAAATGGTAAAGAGTGTGAGATGGGCTGGAGTGAGCTCAAGGAGGAGGGGGGTAAAAGTAACACAAAATTAGAACAAGTCAAAGTGAGCTTTTCTTTTTTGCCCTCAGAGACCGTTCTTCCTCCTTTTTGTAGTTCAATTTGCAGAAGCTGGCCACCCTAAAGTTGATATTTTTCTGAAAGGAACAGCAGATCCCAGTCTTCAATTTACTCCCAGCGCAGGGGAATCCCACTGCAAACATTTGGGATATTTACTTTTGTTTTGAAATGAATGCCTGCATCACCAATATAGGTTATATTTTCTGACGCACCTCTGTAAATGGCTAGATGGAATTCGACTCACTTCTTTCCCCTGATAACACTCACCTGATGGGGTTCTAGACCTTGACTCGTGCCCCTGAGGCAGGCTGCAGCAGCAGTGACCAAGCTGTTCAGGGATAGTTCCAACTTTGAAAGAAGACAAAATAAGGTATTGTTAGTAAGTCACGTCTGGACTACCTCAGCTGGAACTTTGACTTTAATTAAGTTTTTTTTTGAAAAAAAGTCCTCCAATCCTTATCTGCTCATTTCTCTTCCTTGTTCCAGTATAAGGCCTGTGAAATAGTTTGCACTCAAATTCAACCATTAAGAGTAGCTGACTGAACAGCACTAATTGAAGCAAAAGTACTTCAATGATTAAAAATACTTTTTTGTGTGCTTATGCTATAATAATAATCCTTGCATTTAATATAGCGCTTTTCACATTTTTGAAGTCTCAAAGCACTTCACAGAATATACTGTAAAGTGAACTGACTGTATATTTGTGGGCGAAATACGGCAGCCAATTGAGCACAGCAATGTCCCACAAACAGTCGTGGATTGAAAATGACCAATTTAACATTGTTTTTTGTTTTAGAGGGATTATTATTAGGGTGTGGAGTAAGGAAACTTGCCAAGGTTTCGCCCTGCCTGGAATTGAACCCAGGTGTCTCGCTACTACTGTACATTTGCTTTCTTTTCTATTCTAGGTTATACAATACGCATTATAACCAACTTCAAAAGAACATTCAACATTTATTTACCCGACAAACCACAAATATGAAAGTCAATGGAGCTTTGCATATATTTCAGCTGCTCATAAAATTATACAACCAGTAAAAGCTGATAACTGCACAGACAGAGTAAATAATAATGATTAAAATACTTAAAAGCATACCTAAGTTAGATGTGTCCCCTGCTCGATCTACACCACCCATCAGTGGCCGGGCTTTCAATTCTCCACTGTAACCTCTAGAACGCCTCCTTCAATCCCTCAGCCTTGCCCCCGCTCTATCCGTCTTCAAAATTTGCCTCAAAACCTTCCCCACCTCAACCTCTTTCCACACTTATGGGCATCGCAGGATAAGAATATCAGTATTATGGTTCGCGGGATTTACTGCAGTATACATAAGCAACAAAATAGGAAATCTAATGTAGTTACAAAAACACATTGAACTAACTTGATTTACACACCTAGTGGTGAAGGCGAGTATGGTCTGGAGGATCCCGTGGAGAGCCTACGGCCTGAATTCGGCGGCACATCTGCTGCCACCGGCGAGCCGGATCCTGGCTTCATAAAACCCATCGGGCTTGTGTTGGATCTCTTCACCATTCCAGACCTGAAGAGTTTTGGAAAAGCAAACACTTCAAATAATATTTAGAATTCTTGGCTCCTTCACCACCCTTCTCAGTTTTTCTCTTCCCTGGAAGGTAGTTCCACATGCCAAAGTAACATTATACAGCCGCTTGGCCCATTGTGTGCCAGAAAGATATCAAACTATTTGACATGTTGGGGACAAGTAACCTTCGATCTCATCCTCAGTCAAGATCAAGAATTATGTCCAATTCTTCACCACTACTTATTGAACACCTCTCAGTGCTTAATGCTCAGACTTGGGGGACTACAAATAAACTCTCAGGCTGGTTTAGCACTTTTTCTCTTATATACAGCCACCAGAATAGCCTCGTACGAGGAGACTCCAAGGCACAAGGTAACTGATTCCTTGCTTATAGATTATACTGAATTATACTTTGACAGAGGCATAACTTTGAATAATAAGCAACATCTCTCAAGTTAATTTCCCTTTAGTCTTTTTTTTAAAAAAAGAAATATATTACAAAGAATAATAACATTGTAATTCAAATAATAACATAGTAATTCAAACAGACATACCTGGGTGACCCATAGGGATTAGTGTTGTGGCTGGACGTAACGTGCAGGTTCTGTTCAATCCGCTGATAGTTTTGAATCTGCGTAGGAACCGGAATAGGAGCTGACTCAGTACGTGGGGACACAGGAGGCTGACACTGCCTGGAATCAAAACACATTAAAACTGGCCATGAGAAAGGAGTTCCAGGAATGCAATGTCCCTGAACCGTTGCTTGGCTGTGAAACACCAGTGGGTTAAAACTACCCAAATGCAGCAGCTGTAGAATGTTCATCAAACAAGCAGGAGGAGCCAGTCAGTCAGTAGCTATTCTTTTTAAAATCCTCTCATAAACAATGCTGTATTGCTTCACTTGAAATACGATGCTAATAGTGTGCGTGTGTTGCAAAACACCCACATACTCTTTCTTGCACGGCACTACTTGTCTCAGTTAACCTTTAAAAACTTCTAACCGTCAAAACAAGAAAGTCCGTTTTAAAGATCTAGTGGTAAGGGCTGTGCAAAAATCGGTATCAACAGCAAATCATCTCTCTCTCCTCCCCCGTCCAGCTACGTCAAATTATATAATTAACAAGTTCCAAGAAAGTAAACACAGGGAAAGTTACAGAGAACACTTTGTCCCAGGACAGGACTGACTGGCAGAATCTCATCGAAACCACAAGGTAGCAAACAGCGCATGAGGAAGTGAGTCAGAAGAGAATAAAATCACAGTTCAAGTGCAGGGCAACAGCCAACAGCTCGGATCAACAAGACATATCACACTGACATAACCTTCTGTACAATCTGTATGGCGACCGTAACCAGGCTGAAGAGGAAGGTTTTCAGGCAGGACTTGAAAAAGGGGAGGGGCCAAGGCAGAGGTTGAAGAGGAAGGTCTTCGAGATGCGCTTTGAAACAGGCAAGGGAGGGAGCAAGTCGAAGAGATTGTGGGGTAGAGTTTGATGGTGGGGTGGGCCAGGTGGGGACACAGAGCAGGACGGAGCCTGCTGAGCGGAGGGAGGGAGACAGGTTGATATGGGGTTAGCAGGTCACAGAGATAGGAAGGTGCAAGGCCGTGGAGGGTTTTGAAGACGAGGAAGAATTTTGAACTCTATTCTCTGGGGAATAGCTTGTGGAGCTGGGCAAGGTTGGTGATAGGGTCATGGAGCCTGGTGCGGACATGAGCTGCAGAGATCTAGATGGTCTGCAGCTTGTGGAAGGAAGAGTTGGGGAGACTGACAAGCAGGGAATTGGCATAGTTGAGCCTAGATGTAATAAATGCGTGGATGTAATAAAAGTAGGCAAAAAACAGGGCTTAGGAAACATGAGAAGGTGAAGAGTGCAGCAATGGCTAAAGTAAGCAAATATGAGGACTGGGTCAGAGTGAGCAAAGGAAGGAGGTGGATGCAACAGTACAGTGAATCAATAAAGTTGAGCAGGGTTGAGAGGAACAATTGATCAACTACATAAGCAATTCCCAAATGGTGGACCATGGTCAGGAACTGAAATGAAACACCATTTTATCTGAACACCAGCTGGATCTCATCCATGCCTTGGGAAGATCAATAAATGAGGTAAATGAACTTTGTCAAAATAAACATTAGTTTTATGTCAAATGTTCCCAATTCTAAATAGTTGGTGTTTGGGCATTTTGAATCGTACAAAGTATAATCATTGATCACCTTTTGAACATTGTCCTATTTTCAATGGAGACTAGGTGCAAGTCAAATCCAATTGTTCAGCAAAGTTTGCCAAGCAACAAACTACTATTCTGAAAAAAAAACTGAGCTTTATTTGTGGGAGAGGTAATGCTTAATGTAAAGAACAGCACGGCAAGTTGTGTATGGTAGTTGTATGTGTTTGTGAAATCCAGGGGAGGGGGGGGCGGGGGGGGGGTGGAAAGAGAGAAAGAAAGGCTATTTGACACATATGAAATAAAATACGAGCCACATGTAGTCCATGGATGGGGCAGAAATTACCAAGGTGCAAAGTAAAGCGCTGTGGGCATTATTCTGACTCAATGTATATGGATGTATATATAGACGTGAAAAGTGCTATATCAAATGCAAGGATTATTTATTTATTATTTATATATTGTTCACCAAATGACGTGAGACTGCAACCAGGCAAACAAGATGCTGGTTTGCAAAGATTATGATGGGTTGAGTTCAGATCTTGAGAAATCATTCTCATGCTCTTCAGTGCTCAGGTTAGGCTGCACGTCACAACATTAACCTAAGTGATTCTGCAGCCACTCTTTAAAATCTGCTCTATGTATTCCTAATTTCATAATAAAACTATAAAGAGTAAAATGTTTAAAACTGCTAAAAAGTAAAACAGTTAAAAAGTGTGTAGGATATAATTTCTTTCAAAAATGTATAATTCACTTGCTCCTAATGTTCTTAAAATCGCTCAGTGGTATGTTTTACATAAACCACCACTCCCCAATATGTAACCCATTTGGAACAGAATTAAAGGAAGCCTGATGAGAACCAAAGCATCCAATTTATTAACAAGAGACTTCAGTTCAAACCTTGTGCTTCACTGACAAACCCTGGTGTCAAAAAATGAAGCGTTTTGTTCAAAATGCAATTACAGTTAATACTTGTCAGAGAACAATTTTTTTTAAAAAAAGTAGTGTTTGCAAATAATGGATCATAGTGAAAATAAGCTATTAAAAATCATCACTGCTCTCTTCCTTTAAGCTGCCACATATAATGCACCATTTGGTACCTTACCAAATACCCGTTTATCAGAGCAGCTGGTAAGAGCTGTGTGAGAATGGTGGGGAAGGCTAACTCACTGATTTCTCAGCTTGCCACTTCCTGAGAACCCAACCATAGACTAGGAAATCAACATTTCTTTCACAAACTGAACAGTTTTCACATTATTTTACAGCATATTCTGCTGATTCAGGAACTTACTGTGCCACAGAAGTGCTGATCCCATTTTTTTTTAAAAAAAGGGAAATTGTGCACTATGCACAACTTTTTTTTTAGGTTTAAAAAAAATGGTTCCTCTTTATCCTTAATATGCCAGCAGCCTGAAATCAAACTCATCCTGCTCTGAAATCAGAGCGTTGCTGAAGCTACTAAATTAATACATAGAGTGGATCACTCCTGATCTGGCTCTCCAGCCATGTACACCTAGGATTGGGATAGTTCTTCAATTTCTAATTTCTGTCTAATTCATCGATGGTAGGAGCTGAAAGGAAAAATAGGGAGGTAGGTTTTCCATAGGTTCTGGACGGCACCCACTCCATTTAACATAAAAAAGTTTTCTTGTTTCTCGCTGGGCTTTTGATTACATTAAAAACAAATTCTCCTTTGGGTCAAAGTACAATATTTTTCCTCAGATGGATGGAAAAGTTTGAAAATCAAAACCTCATTTCTTTCAGTGAGCAAATTACAATCCCTCATTGCACATTTTCACTATTAATCAGTGAAGTTTCAACCTCAAGTACGTACTTTCTCAAACCCTCAGGTAAATAAGTAAGACTGAGATTAAGATTGAGTGGCAATATTAGCTTTGTTTAATTGTCGTGTGGGTTCTCCTCATATGGATCTAAATAAAATATTATGAGCATTGAACAAGTGCAAATGCTTGCTGCGCCTTATAAATTTCAGGCAGTGTGCTTGAAAAGCCCGATGTTCAACTGTGGCTGAAAAATTATTTTATGTGCAGAAAGCGCATTTATGATGAAGCAGAAAATCCTTTTTGGAAGCCTTTGTTCACACTAATGTATATTGATTATTTGCAGAAAAAGGATATTGCACTAGGCATTTTGAGTTACAAGAACTCTTTCACAAGTTAGAAGATGCCACAGATCAGTCAGGGTTATCTGTTTATTCTTGAAATTAAGTAATAAATCTGCAGGTAGAAAGGGTTCAAATTATAAACCATTCCCATGTACTGTAGTTTATCATTGTTGTGCTTCAGAGAGGAAGGAATGATATTTGGTCACAATAATCGGAGTCCTGAAGCTGCAGTGGTTAGAGCACTCGCTTTGCAAGCGAGAGACCCAAGTTCAATCCCAGGCAGAGGGCGAAACCTTGGGCAAGTTTCCTTACTCCACACAGAGCCTAATAACAATCCCTCTAAAACCCAAAACAATAATAAATTGGTCATTTTCAATCCACGACTGTTTGTGGGACATTGCTGTGCGCCATTGGCTGCCGCGTTCGCCCACAAATATACAGTCAATTCACTTTACAGTGTGTTCTGTGAAGCGCTTTGGGATGTCCTCCCGACGTGAAAAGCGCTATATCAAATGCAAGGATTATTATTATTATTATTATTATTATAAGACAATACTGATCTCTATTCTTTTACACACTCTACAGAAAGATCCTATCTTTTGGCTGAGCTAGAAGAGCTTGACCTGGAATGAGGCTGAGGAAGGTCTCTGCAGAGCCCCCTGAGGAGGTTAAAGGTGACTGCCTAATCAGTTCATGGAAAAAGAAAAATCCAAGATGCTTATTTACTTTTCTTTTTAAAATTTATTATTTCTCCTGAATTTTGCCCATTTCCACATCAAGGGCTCCTGCCTCAACACAGCCTCCATCCTCTGGCTAAAATCAACTAAATAATTTCTTGCAACCTCTTCCAGGATCTCCTATGGAATACATGATTTGCTGCGATAAAAAATTTTCACTTGCCACCAGTAAGCAAGCCTCTCTCTCAAGTAAAGCTTTACAGTGTTGTGCCGTTTATTATTCTACCCGTAAGAGAAAAAAAGATTAGAACTCACTTATTTTATACTGATCAGTCAAGAAAATATTGGCAACTGGAATGCAATATGGCACTATTATAACATTTTCAAACGTCTGAGTATAACATACTTCTGTTGACAGGTAAGTGTGCGAAGTTGGCAGAATTCTTCATCTCATGAAAGTACTCCAAGCCCTCACACCAATTTTGAAACAAATAACTTAGAAAATACTTGTCAAAGAAATACTTCTCCTTGATACAACAGTTATAACAAGCATTTTACACAGAGTATTGAATTTTCTTTATGGACCAGCTGGCTCCAAAAAAAATGGATTGGATATTGTTTACCAGTAAATTTCCTCTACACAATCTCTTTGACAAATTTCTCTTTATATAAATCCTGTTTCATGATTTTCAGTGGATACAGTACTACTTCGATTAATTTACCGCTATTATTGTTCAACAATTACTAACTATTAAACCACTAATGCAGACAATTTTAGTTGAGTCACACTTACCCTCCACACATCAGAAATTCACTGGAAGGCCGTTTGCCAACTGTCCCCAATGGCATATCGTCTGTATAAAATACAAGAACAGATTCAGAAGCTTAAATAATATTGCTGAAAACACTGAAATCTTTCCATTTAGACAGTAATGTAAATGTATATTTTACTTCAAAGGAATTTAATAACTTTGAACAACATGAGAATACATTTTGGAAAAGAACTTATCTCAGAATATAACTATGCAATGAAAACATTTCCAGCATAATCGGATACTATTATACATTCAGACCCAGTTGTAATTATAATTGGTGGTTTGAGTCCATAAAATGAGACCCCATGTTATAAGGGTATTATAACAATAATCCTTGCATTTGATATAGTGCTTTATCACTTCTTCGAGATGTTTCAAAGTGCTTCGTAGAATACTATAATGTGTAGTGACTGTATATTTTGTGGGCGAAACGCGGCAGCCAATTGCACACAGCAGTGTCCAACAAACAGTCGTGGATTCAGTGACCAACTTATTTTGGTCAGTCGTATTGCAGTCGCTGATCAACATTTCCAGGCCGTGACGCAGTGTCAAGCAGCCACACTGCACATGCACTAGAAAGCCAGCCACCTCGGTTGCCAGAAGGTAATTCAGTAAACATGCCCCAGTCAATTTTAAACTGGGTTCAATGAAGAGAAATCCTCAGTTTTTCTTTTTGCTCAGTTAAATATTCACACTGACGAGTATCAAAATTTAAAAATAAACTGAAACATTCTCTTCCCCTCCACAAAAAAAGAACCGAATGAGCACTTACACGACTGGTCTGAAGAGATGCTATGTGGAACTAGAACAAAGTCATCTGTGTCACATGAAGAGTTCTTACTACCGCTGCTGGCGGAGTCTTTGGAAACCTGCAGATAGTTAGGCGGCCCCAAGGGTGGAGAAGACAGGGTGTCTTCCTGTATGCGTTGCATGTCTGGCAAGGACTGAAAGAAAGAAGTAAAGCTGCTACATCATGTTAACTCATGAGAACCTATTATTACACTTCACCAATGCAATTTATTTTGCAACGTACAAAATAAGGCAAAATTAGATGCTTTTAATTTCCCTGCAACATATAAATCCCTCTACTGTAATTAGAGGTTAGCATGGCCTCTGAAAGGTAACAGAATATTAAAAGGGTGCTATAAATAGAATTGAAGCATTTCAGCATTCATAACCATTCTACTGAAAGACAGTGTCCTTGAAGAAAAGGAATTTTGCCCTAACCATACTGGAGCTCCACAGTCTGTCACTGAAATCAGGCACCATATCACATAAAGCTTAATTCACAGCACAGCAGTTTCAATGAAATTGTGGTAGAAAATTAATGGTAGTGGGGGAGAAGAATCAAAATGTAATTTACTATCTATACACTAAAACACTTGATGCAGACAGGCAACAGCAATTTGTTTTATCACCTGTAATTTTGAGTTTTCTTGCCCAATTTTGTTTTGACCGCAGGAATCAAAAAAGTCTGTATGCACAAATATGACCCAAGGAACTACAGGCATCCAGCCTATCGACTTTCAAATTAGTCGGAGGTAACTAAACTCAACTCAAACAATCATTGGGATTTGTTTTTAAGCAAGGCTGCTCTCAGGAAAGTGCACAAAAGCATAGAATTCCATCTTAGTGATTTAACAAAAACCCATCAGAACGCCGTTCAAATTTCATCAGCCAATCAGAAAATTGTATTAAGAGTGGATAAAATGCAATCCGTTTTAAGAAAGGGTCGGGAGGAAAATGTCCCCCCAAAAAGGATGTGAAAAATCATACACTAGGATTAGAAATTAAGTTGGCAAGTATGATGTACAAAATACCAACATTTGAATTGAAGAATTCTATTCCTAAATCCTGTATCAGGCTAAATAGATCAATTTTGTATTGCACCACATGTAGCAGTAGGGATATAGATACAGAAATATGAATGCAATAACAATGAGAGGTGTCCAACCCCTTCAATGTGCAGAATTCTAAGACGTTATGCTGGGTGTAGGGCGCTGTATAAACGCAAGTTGTTGTAGTTTGTAAAGTATAAAAATGAATAGGCAAACAAAATGATCACTTATTATTCAATTTTAATGACTAAAAATTACTTTCTTTGATTTGGAAAAAATATTCTTAACTGAAATGCAAATTAAATGAGTTGAGGAGCCATTATTAACTTTGTGAGAGTATTGTTAGGTTGTGGTCAATGAAACTGCTCTGAAAACAAATTATAGTAGATCCTACCTTTCTCTGGTGACAGATTTAATTTGAGTCTGTAAACCAGTTCTTTTTTAATATTAAAATTCTAGTTAAAAATGCTCTAAAAATGTTACTCAACAACAGCTGTACTTTGGTCAAACTGAAATAAATGGCAACATTTGTAAAAACTGCCTTTAGAGCAACAACAAATTACATTTGTATAGCAACTTTCACGTCAGGACGACGTCCCAATACAATTTCAAACCGTTTACTTATTGATCAAATAATAAAATAGACCAACAGCTAGATTAAGGGAATCGTTCAATATTAACGACAATTTTACTCAGATGGTTCTGATGAATGACTTAATCATTAAAAGAGGTACTTACAGGAGGAGAGGCAAAATGACAAGATGGAGAACTGCTACACGAACTGCCAGAAACGGAACCAGGGCACGTGGGTACAGGCACAGGGCATGCTACAGACATAAATCATTCCAATTGTTAAAAGCACCACCACAATACTTTTGTATGCCTGTGCACTAGAACATCCAATGCATTTCAATTAAATAGTCATGAGAAACTGCATGCAACACATCCTACACATAATCTCGATTCAATAGAGAGATCATTGACTCAGAAATAAGGTATTAGCAACTAAGTCAAAACATATACACAAGTAATTAATAGAAGGCCATGTGACCCATCAAGTCCAATCTACCTGACCATTTCATGGCGTCTGTGCTAAACTCTCACTTAATCCCATCTTCCCCCAACATATGCCTCATCTATGGCTTCCTGGCCAGTGCATTCTATATATTTCACCCACAAAATATAATGAATTCACTTTACAGTATATTATGTAAGCACTTTGAGACATCAAAACTCCAGCCAGCTTTCGTCTCTCCTTTTTATAACTTCTAGTAAAATGTTATTCTTTCATCCTGTGGGATATAACTACTACTCTTAAAACTGCAGGATAATGATTTTTTTTTAGAATGGGATATACAACAGAAGTTTTTTTTAAATTAAAAAAAAGTTTTAACTTGCAGTAACAGCAACAAAAAATCCAAATGACTCACTTATTTTAATGACCGTTTAGGGATTCACTATGTATGACCATCAGTTTGTTTTGGGATGAGTGTATAATGAATAATCCTTTTTGTTTACCCCTCTCCACTTAATAAAAATGGCTAGCTCAGCAGCAGGATAAATTGGCTGTCCAGTTGAGGCTGTTATTGCAGTCCACAATGAGCATGGAACTTGCTGGGAAAAACAGGCTTATTGGAGGCTGTGACATCTTCTATCAGAAGTGGGGAGCAGGGAAAAGAAAATCAGAGAATCAATTCTGAACCCTCCTTAGCACTTTCCTGGCAGGAAACCATAGGTGGCATTTGCATGACCTGAAAGGGGCACATGTTAAGCAAAAGAGTTGAACCATACTACTAAAACACCCCTATGAAAGTCGTGTTAAATATTTCGTAAGACACTTACATTTTTTGACTGACAGAGCTTGATCCATGAAAGGATGGTTGAAGAATGTTTCTGCAATACAAGAATCTAATGGTTTAAATTTGTGTATTCTCTGAAGTTCTAAATATCAATTGCAATTTAAAGTTGCACCAAGTTTAAATCTAACCTTGCAATTTAAAGTTGCCTCAAACCCTGGAGTACAAATTACTGCCAACAAATTATTTTACCCCATTTTGGCACAATCAAATGCATTATTCAGCAAATGACTACTGGGAAAAGAGCAATTGTTTTTTCATATAATGCAAAAGCAATGGAGGTCAACACTACATTATAAAACACTTTAATGCATGTGGACACAGGTACTTCTGAAGCACATTTCTAGTTTAACAGATGAACTGGATCACATTCAACTCCTGGTCAATTTTTAATTGAATTTGAATTAAAACTACAGCAGCATAAACTGCAAAACAAGAACACTAGATTCTCAATAACAAACCACATATTAAAATCCCAGTTTGAGCTGGTACTTGCTTCCTCTGGGGACAAATTTGGCAACAACATTCAGATTATTTGTAAGAGAGAGATGGTGAAATGGTTGGAATGGACCTTCCTGTGTGACCCAAGTCACTGCCCCAACATACTAACAGAGGGAACACAGATTGTATTTGAGAGTTGGATCCAGATCCAGACGAAAAACAAATAGCACACACCACCTGGTTAACAAAGACTGTAATGGATTTTGACCCAAAATACAATTTGTACCAAAATTGAGAGTCAGAAGTCATGAACAAGCTGTACATTGCTCTGGTCAGGCTGCACCTTGAATACTACATAAAGTTTTGGTCACTGCAACACTAGGGAGCTGCCCAAGCAGCAAGAGAAATGCTGAGGAATGCAATGAGCAAAAGATTGATTCCGGGAGGATGAAAGGGTGGATATTCTGGAAGGATAAGATGAAATCGTCCCCAGGGCCTTGCTCATTCAATTGAACACTATTCAAAGGAGATTTGAATAATTGGATCCAGCACACCTTAATTCTAAAGATCAATTGCAATTATTAAACAAGTTACTAATGACTCACCAAAATCCATTCTATCCTTCTGGTTTCTCTGAAGCAAGCCAAGCAACAAGCCACCCAGATGACTGGAAGTTTCACTTGGGATGCTGTTTGATAAATTTTAAAAAAATGATGAAACTCTTTGAACCAACCACTGCACATAGTTAATAAATAAAAATAATGAAATTGCCTATTCTATTAAGTATATTCCAGATTTTCAAAAAATGGAAAATAAATGATATATTTATTTGATTGCCATCAATAAATACACCCATGATTAAAGATTACATTACAACCCTTCATACCAAAGCCATTTGTTTCACTTTACAAGAGCATACTCAACAAAACTGAAGAAAGATAATATAATAATTTAAATCTCCAGCTATCTCCTTTAAATTAAGATCCTAGAAGTATTTTTGTGTGTGTGTTCATTTCATTGGCAGGGTACTGGATGATATTGTACAATATTGCCCACGATGTGGAACAAGAGGAAATCTTACTCAAAAAGGTTTAAAGAGTGGCGGGAAATAGAAAATTCACACTGGAGCAAGAGTTGGTCGTCTGTTCATCAGGGTTGAGACACACGATTGAACTAAAAAGAGGGTGCTTGACTGTTGGTGACCAGTGAAGACAATGAAAGCAATGTGCCATTCCCCAATTGATGAATACTTCACAACTGTTTCTTTTAAAGACGATATTTTTAAACTTTTAAATAAAAATTCTGGTTTCCAAAAAGGCAATTGTACAAATCAGTGATAAAGTTGTCTGATGCAACAACAGTACAGTTCTAATCCCAAACACAGTGATGAAACTAAGATACAATCTTTACATATTAACTATTGTTTAGAAGTGTGAATAGCCTGGGTTACATTCCACAAATAGATGCTGGTTTGGAAACAGATTGCCTAACAATTCTCTGAATACATTTTAGGGCTGGAATATTACTGAATCTGTCTGGGTTGAGAGAAATTTTCCAAGACCACAAAGTAATCATCACATTATATCACAGCATGCTAAATAAATATCCCAGCAAAATTAAAAGCAGCATATTTGAATTCTGACCAAATGGTTGAGTTGATGAAGGCAAGACCCACATTTCACTCCCGGTCAATGCTGAGATTACTGATCTTAACCAGGACACAATTGCTCTCAGAACCAAACTAAGTTTTTTTTTAAAAAAAGCACAGCTGAGCTTTCCAACTGTTGATCAGCATCCAGCCTAACATTTGACAAATATTTTCTGGTCTTCAAAAATTTGGCACAGCCCAGGGAGATTCAATGGTATTCCAGTGCTATAATGTATTTAGAGAATTGTGATCAATCCCTTTCCAAACCACTACCCATTTGTGGAATGTAACCCCATCATATGTTACTATACCATGCAGAATACTTGTGAGAACTGAATCATATCTTACAAATGCTGAGCACAAAACACAAAATAAAATTTGTGCTACAGTTTCTACAAGCTACAGATTTTCTTGATAGGTACTCACTTAGGCACTAAATTCTTATTCTTCTCATAGAAGAACCTCAAGTCCTGTGGGCTGTTTGCCTGTAACAAAACAAAATTCCAGCTTTGAAACCAAAGTACGGCATTGTTATTCAGATAGCCATCAAAATCAACAACCTGGATGCTTTGAGACCAATAAGCTTTCAAGAATTGCTTGGTTTATCAATGCTCCAACATGCTTCCCATTCTTTATTCAACATTCTTAAAACACTTGTCAACTGGATACAGGTAGGTTTCAGTTTATAGTGATTAGTTATATGATGTAATCTTGATGTCACAATTAAGACTAATAAATATTAAGCAGTGATACACACCAGTGAATTAAAATGTGAAACTGGCTGCTGAACAGCCCATTGGTAAAGCCTGTGCCTCATGGGGACAGACCCAATAAGGCTTGATCCCTTGTCTGTGTTGAGTTCCAGGTTCTGACCCAAGATAGAGTGGGGGGTTGGAATAACCCCTGTCCCTAAGGTAATGAGGACAAGAACTAGTTCCAAAGTGCTATCAGTGGATTACTGGATAAATGGGGGTGGGGGAGCTGGTGGATAGAGGATGATGAAAGCAGTAAAATTTGAACTAGTCATTCTTCATGTGCAAACCTGAAGTTGTGGGTTACTATTTGACTATAGTGGGCATTGCCAAATTTGACAACATAGTTAACTCCATCAGTTATGGTTACTGGTAAAAAAAATATTGTCTGCTTCTTTATCAAAGTAATAACTATTAAATTCAATAGATTGTTTTTCAAAATAGTACATAAATGCAAGTTTCTTTTAAAGAAATATTTACTAAAACACACAACTAGTTTATGATTGGTGAATCAGATATAATTTACAATGAGCATTTCTTCTCAAGTTCTACCTGGAAAGGAGGCTTGCCAACAAGGCACTGAAATATTACAGTGCCTATACTCCAAAGATCTGCCTTGGCATCGTAATGTTGTGACATGATGACCTCGGGTGCCTAACACAAAATAAAGACAGTTTCACATATCATGGCTTAAAAAAGGCATTAGAAAGTGCATCTCTTCTAACTTTCATTCTAAATTTTGAATTTATTAAGCTTAACTTGGAAAAAGCATACACATAATTAAAAAGGAAACAGTATACCATGGTGAAGTTAATAGGAATCAGTTCAGGAAACATATTTTCAGTGCTTCATATTGACCCAGAAATAGTCATGCCAGCCTTGCCTGGACTCAGTTATGCACACAAATAAATCCTATTATTGCATTAGAATTTTAGAAACTTGATGAAACGTCACTTACCATGTACATGGGGGACCCACACAAAGTGGCAGCCATCATGTTACTCTGCAAATACCGGGCAAAGCCAAAGTCCGCTGCAGGGGATATAAAAAATGCACTGTAGAATGACACTCAACAATATGACATGCATTTTTAGACCCCACCAATGTCATTAATGAGCAAATTCTGAAGAAGCATTGAGAACATTGCAAAGATTCTCACCAAAAGAGATTCGCGATTGAATAAAAGCACTGTCATAAAAGTGTGGTGTTTCAACTATTTGCAGTGCAATACAGGCTTCCTACAGTACCTAAAAGGGGTTTGGTTCAAGAAACTAGAATTAAGCTATGTATTTCCCATAAAACAGAAAAGTGACTAGAACCTTGTATTTTCCAGGTCACTTGCAATAGACACATTTCAAAATTTAATCACACATTTCTATTAATAAATTTGTTTTCCCAGCTGAAACTCCTTTACACCTCACAGGTAAATTGAGACCAATTAGATTTTCTCTTCCGAGGGCTTTTGCACTCATTATGGGCTTAAAAAAATAGTATCCAGTTAGACAAAATAATAAGTTAAAAGCTGATATCAATGGTAAGTGTCAATTTAATATAAGCTTAATTTAAGAAAGGTTTGCAGAAGCTAATCAATTTTTGAAACTGTTTTTTTTGCAATGTCAAGACCATAAATTGATAGTGGCAATTTAGATCACATCTCCATTTATGTCTAAGCACACTCACTTGCATCTTTCAACAAAATCTTAAACAAGCTAAGAATCTGTTTGAATCTAGAATGGGAGTTTGCAGGACTTCCCAGGAGAGAGTAGTACAGAAACAACACTGAACCAATTTTTCACTTACATGCTAAAGAAAGTTAAACGGTTCCATGTTAAATCTCTAAGCTGTCAAATCAAATCTCAATACATCCCTTTACATTATGAAATTTCTCCAAAAAAAGTTTCAAGACATTGCTCATCCAGAACAGGCAACCTCCTTTACCCCTCCAAAATACAACTATTGAAGTTTGGAAGTATCAACTGGTGTGTATCTGACCCAAATGGTCATTATTCAAGTGTGCGCCTGGACCGTGAAGTATTGATAGGCTCATGAATCATGCGGGAAGCACCAAAGAGAGGCCTAATACGAGAAGATTGGAATGAAGAGGAGCAGAGTAACCAATAAATTCAGTTACCAAGTGACACCTGGAACATTTCAACAAAAAAATCATTTTTAGAATTACACTAGGTCTTTTTTCAATCCTAAAAACTTTCATGCAAAATTATCATAGGAAAAAATATATTCAGGATAGCATTTTAAGTTCTGTTGGTGGAACTCATCTCTTTTTAGATCTGATCTTCAATACTTTTATTAGTTTCTCCATACCCTCTCTAATATTTTCCAAACTCTCCCAATCACAGCAGTGAGCAACATTCTCAAACCAAAATCATACCAACGTCTGTTTAGAGTACGAGTACTCTACAATTAATTGTGGAAGATCTTTACAACAAGAAGAAAATTACATTTGTAAAGCGCTTTTCACATCGGGAGAACGTCCCAAGGCACTGGACAGAGTTACGCACCCGAGCTGGGAGTCAGGGTCAGGAAGGGTGGAGGGCAGGGAGTGAAGTAGGGAGATCGAAAGCACGGTCGAAGAGGAGGGTCTTGAGATGGGTCTTGAAGGTGGCAGGGGAGGGGGCGAGGCAGAGGGACTGCAGGATAGAGTTCCAGAGGTTGGGGCAGAGTGGCGGAAGGCCTGCCCGCCAATAGTGGGGCGAGCGAGGCGGGGGACGTGAAGCGGGCCGGAGCCCACTGAGCGGAGGGAGCGAGTAGGATGGTAGGGGGTTAGGAGGTCGCAGAGGTTGGGGGGAGCAAGACCGTGCAGGGCTTTGAAGGTGAGGACCAGGATCTTGAACTGTATCCTCTGTGTGATGGGAAGCCAGTGGAGTTGGGCAAAAATGGGGGTGATAAGGTCGCGGAGCCTAGTACAGGAGAGGACATGGGCTGCAGAGTTCTGGATGATCTGCAGCCTGTGGAGGGAGGAGTTGGGGAGGCCGACAAGCAGTGAATTTGCATAGTTGAGCCTTGGCGTAATGAGGGTTTCAGCGGGCTGTGGTGAGACAGTATTGGAGCTAGGCGAAGTTGCGGAAGTGGGGGAAGGCAGAGCGGGTCATGATGTGGGGTAGAAAGGAGAGTTGAGGGTCAAACAAGACCCCAAAGTTCCGGACTGACTTAGCAAGGTGAAGTGTCCAACCATGGACGGTGATGCTGTCAGCACCTGACGTGAGGAGGCGCTGACATGAGTCAATCAGGAGAGCCTCGGACTTGTTGATGTTCAACTGAAGAAAGTTAGCTCTCATCCAGGACTTGATGTTAGACATTCAGTCAGGACAGCAGTGGCCCTGGAGTTGAGGGTGGAGGCAGAGAGATACAGTTGGGTGTCATCCGCATACATGTGGAAGTTGACCCCATGTCTGCGAATGATGTCACCAGAGGGAGATATAGATATTGAAGAGGAGGGAACCAAGGACAGAGCTCTAAGGAACGCCGCATAAGACGGTCCGGGGGCTAGAGGAGAACCCATTTGTGGAGATGAAGTGGAGACGGTGTGAGAGGTACGAACTGAACCAGTCAAGGATTGAGCTGGGAAGGTTGAGGTGAGAGGAGAGGCACAAGAGGAGGAATCTGTTACTGAATCACTTTTGGACAATTCTATTCAACTCTCAAAATATTAAGCGTAAATTAAGAAAAAATACATTTATGATTCTTAACCAACAATAAATAGCAACGTGTCAATGCAGAAGTACAGAAATGTCAGTGTATTTCCACAATTGATGAGCTGCACTAAGCTTGTTCTGTTATTGAGCAAAATAAATTTAAACATTTACCTATTTTGACTCGAATGCCATTCACGTTAGATTTTTTCCGGCTAATATTCGACAGGAGAATATTCTGTGGTTTCAGATCCCGATGAATGATTCCTTTGCTGTGAAGCACACGCATCGCAGCAGCGATCTGCTGGAGAAAGATTCTAATGGTGTCTTCACTAAGTGTCCCTTTGGCTACTCAAAAAGAATGGAAGTAGTTTAATATTAATCTGAGTTATGAGGAGGAAAAGATCACAAGAAAGGTTCAGATGTAATTTTAATGTCAGGGGCACTGAATGAATACAGTATTATTTGCATTACCTTAAGGAGTCATCTGGACTTCAGAATAACAAGACAAATCACTCTTTGCTGGGGATGGGGCGGGGGGGTGGTGACATGACAGCAAAAGTGAAGGCAGTATAGGAACCAAAGTATGTTTCTTACCCAGGTCAAACATGTGTTTTGCTCACTCTTAACCTTGTCCCATTGAATTATTCTCTTTAGAAACCCTCTAAAATACCACAATGCCTCCTTCTGCTGCCAAGTATCAAAAAGTTATTAACTTTTAAATGATTTGACATTAATGTCACATCATACTCAGCTGCACAAAGAGTGCTTGCAGCAGGGTGAGACTGATAATAATCAATCGTTTCGCCCCCTTCTCTTAGGAAAAACTCCTACAGATCTGAAAGCTGGATATTCTCAAGACTCATAACAACTACAAAATTATGATGGGGAGCACTCCATTGCTGCAGAAATAGCTCATAATATTTTTCATTCCATCTCCCCTAAATTGTATTATGTTGTTTACCTAACCACTACTGAACAACCAAGTGCTGTGTTCTGGTAATGATGCAAAGTAATCAAATCTTTTTTACGATTTGCAGCACAGAATTAAGGGTCAGTTATAATCTACAATGAACAAGATGCACACAGTAAAGGCAACACATGGCATTATTCAGGTCAAGATTTGGTGATGGGCATATTGTCCTCTTCATTTTAGTAGTTAATTATTTGGCATTGTAAATTTAAAAAAGTCATTTTTCCAGGTTGGTTAAAGCATAGAATACAATGACCATAGATCCAACCCAAAATGTAATGGAACATTATCAAACCTTCAGACTTAATAGGATTTGGCGGTCTCAATAAAACATTCTTTCACTCCAACCTCCTGGAGAGCAGAAAGGTTATGAAACTTTCACTAGAAACAGCACTGATGCAGCACATACAAACAACTTGCAGACTGCGCCGTCCTCAAAGGCTCACTAGGTAAAAATATTGCCTATATAAACAAAAGGCATACAAACCAAACGTTTTGTATGGTTTACTGCCAAACCATATTCTTCATGTTAAGTTTGGCTGCAAGCATTGGGCTATATCACTCCAGGGCACCGCAGCACAGAAAGACCTTGTCCTCACTCAGCAAGAGGATTTTCCAGCAACTCGTAATGCCACTCCCCTGCTCCCACTACTCCTGCACTCACCAGCAAACATTAGAATCACGGGAAATGAAGTTCTTCTGGACATGCATCAATGGATCAAGACGACATATTCCACGATTCGTTGCAGCCGGTATGTGTGGGAGTTATGGGAATAGGGGAGTGCTGTTACAATTCAGGAGATGATAAATACGACTAATGCAAAAAAATCTAAATGGTTTTAAATGGGAACCTGAATGGGACTCGGGTGCATGTAGGAGTTAAGCAATTATACAATTTATAACGGTAAGGCATCTGAGTTTTTCCTGCATTATCAAGCTAAAGGAGCCATATCAATACAATACATTTCAAGTTACCTTGTAGATAATCTGCCAGGTCACCCCCATTGCAATACTATAAAAGAATGTAAAAATAATCAGCTCAATACTTTTAGGAAACATTTTAAGACATCAATAATGTACATTTATTTTTGCAACTTATATAATAAATTAAACAGCCCATTTAATTTATTAATACACAACTGTATTAGGAAGAACATTGTTTGATGTGCAACTTTAATTATCCATGCTCTCACTAAGCACACAGCTGCAGTCGAAAGGGCATGTAGGCGGTCTGCTCCCTAAACCCTGCTAATTCCTCTGTGAATCCATCAACAGCAAACTGGGGTGCCTCTTCCTCCGATGTGCCAGACTTCTGGGATTGCAGGTGAGTATAGTGAAATTGTGGCAAAACTAGAAAATTAAATTGCATCTTCCTCATTTCACAATGCATTGGAGAAGTAGGTCAGCGCATGCATTGCTGTATTTGCTAACTATGGGCTATTCTCAATCATCAGCATTTGCGCTGGCTGTGTAGTATATATACACAAGAAGTATGTTAATTGGCCTTGAACTCCTACAGCAGGACACATTAATATGCAAGTGTTGGTTAGTTACCTACTAACTAACCTTCCATAGTCCATGAAATTGGATAATTTGGATTTAAAATATCCAATTAGATAAGCAAACTCAAAGTGTACATGATCTCATCCAACTGCTTTCTCACAGTCTGAGCCAATGTAACAATGCCATTATTCAGTGAAAGTTGATTTTTTCTAAATTTAGGCTTTACTGAATTTCTTGATCATTTAAAGGGCAAAGTTATGGCACTTTAATGGTACTGTACATTAAAAGACAGATGAGAAAATTATGCAAATCGAGATTGATCAAGGGATAGTTTCAGTTACAGAGGTAAAGACCTCTAAACACTTTCTAAAGCACTTTTTTTAGCTCCTCTAATCATCTGGCTGTTAAATGCCTGCTACCAGATGGTAGAAGGTTTAATTCTCAAAATGGCAGTAGTTGATTGAATTCAATAACCTTGGGCTAGTATATGCTGTGTACATGTGCTCACGTGAGGAGGGGAATGAGAAGAGGGGAGAAGAGTAACAGAGGAAGGGAAAATAATAAACAATGGGTGCTTTCTCTTACCATTTCCTGCTGGAAAGTGCGTACAGTTATCTTAGGATGAGGCTCAAAGGTAGTGCCCCAAGTTGCAATGACATACAAAGAAAGGTCATTGTAGGGTGCCAGAGGGTTACTGGGCCTGTGTGAACTGTACGCTTGCAAATGTCAAGCTTTTAGCAAAGATTGTGTGTGTGTGTGGGGGGGGGGGGGGGGGGGGAAAGAGAGTGCAAAAAGAGAGAAAGGGGAGAAAATTTGAACCAAATTCCCTAAAATAGACTGCCTTGCCCCTAAACATTTTTAAAAAAAACAAGGGTTCAGGTAACTGCTGCTGCAGTTTATGAAGTCATCTAAAATGTTTATAGACATGTAACAATGTTGAAGCATTTTACAAACTATCATAAAATTTGCTATTCAATTAAAGGAAGGTGAAATCTCCTAATGCCTAACCTCATCCCACTATCCTTTGCGTAGTTAGCACCAGCTACCTGGGATCCCAAAACATCTTACTTGACACGATCTGATTTTGTATCATGAAACTTTTTTTCAAAATTGCATATGTACATTTTAATTAAAATACAAAGGTTTTATTGAATTGTTAGACGAAAGACTGAAAAGGCTTACTTGCCTTACAGCTGGTCTCAAAAGGATACACAATTTATCTTGGTGCTGCACGCTCCTGAATTTAATGAATGCTCACGGACAATACAAAATTACATTTATAAAGCACCTTTCACATCGGAGGTGGTGTGGGATCAGGGAGGGTGGAGGGTAGAAGAGTGGCCGAGGGCACGATCGAAGAGGTGGGTCTTGAGGCATGCCTTGAAAGAGGCAAGAGAGAGCGCGAGGCAAAGGGAATGTGGGATTGAGTTCCAGAGGGTGGAGGCAGAGAGGCTGAAGGCCCAACCACTGATGGTAAAGCGGCGGCTAGATTGATAAGGGATTAGCAGGTTGGAGAGGGCAAGGCCATGGAGGGCCTGGAAGGTGAGGACGAGAATTTTGAACTCGATCTTCTGAGGGATGAGGAGCCAGTGGAGCTGGGTGAGGTGGGTGTGGTGTAGGAGAGGACACGAGCTGCAGAGTTCTAGATGATCTGCAGCTTATGGAGGGAAGAGTAGGGAAGGTCGACAAGCAGGGCATTGGCATAGTCAAACCTGATTGTAATGAAGACACGTATGAGGGTTTCAGCGGCTTGAGGGATGAGGCAGTGGCTCAGACAGGCAATGTTGCAGAGGTGGGGGAAAGCAGAATGGATCATGGCACAGATGTGGGGGAGAAAGGACAATTGAGGGTCGAACAAGACGCCTAGCTTCCTGACTGGCTTGGTGAGTGTGCATCCACGGATCCTGATACTGCTAGTGCTTGAGGTTCGGAGGTGCTGGCGCGAGCTAATCAGGAGAGCCTTGGTTTTGCTGACGTTGAACTGTAGAAAGTTAGCTCTCATCCAGGACTTGATGACTGACAGACAGTCTGTCAGGACATCAGTGGTCCTGGGGTAGAGAGTGGAGGCAAAGAGATAGAAATGGGTGTCATCCGTGTACATGTGGAAGTTGACCCCATGTCTGCGGATGATGTCACTAAGAGGGAGCACGTATAGGTTGAAGAGGAAAGGACCGAGAACACAGCCCTGAGAAACACTGCACGAGATGGTACGAGGGCTGGAGGAAAAGCTGTTTGTGAAGACAAAGTGGAGCCGGTGTGAGAGGAGGGGAGATGGGTTCGAAGGTGTGGAGGAGGAATGGGTAGGGGCCAGAATGTGAGGGAAAGATAGGGAGGGGGTGGCAGTTGGGAGGGTGGAGGCAGCTGAATGGATCCCCTCGATTTTGATCTTGAGGAAATCCATTATCTCCTCGCAGTTGGAGGAGAGGATGCACCAAATATAACTCCAGATTTCCAGAGTTGAATTATTTTTGCTAGACTCAATAATTAATGTGCACCTTCTGTTAATGCACTACTTTGCTCCTACAAATATGACAATATCTGAATGCAGAAAACAAAAATCATTGAGACTTACTTCCATCACCAAGTGGACTGAGTTTGGTGTCTCCTAAAATCACAAATTCAGAGAAAGTAGTTAGAATATTAACTTTTTTATTTATTGCAATTAAAAGTACAACCATCATTTGTACAGATTATTGGAGCCTAATTAAGTAAGCTTCAGTGTCGAGCTTGGACAGATATTAAACATCCTGTAGTTCAGTCTATCATGGAAAAAATAGTCAATTTTCTTGCAAAAAGATTCTACATGGCTGGACTTGAAACATTAACCAAGCTCCTCAAATGCTTTATTTTTTAATTAAGACTATACTGCACAGTTTCCATCAGACTATCAACAATACACCAATGAGCATGGTTCACACCAATGATTCACACCCTCCAATTTTCACAGTTGTTTGTTCACCACAAGGAAGCAGCTGGCACTGGCTGCAGCTGAGCTTTGGCAAGGGAAGAAGAGGGGTGGGAAGAGATCTCATGAGGTATCTCTTATATATAGAGTAGAAGCTCAAATGGGTCATAATAATAATTCTTGCATTTGATATAGAATCTTGCAAATAGGATATTTGCTCTTAGCTGGGGAACAAAATGTGATAGAAAAGACCTACAGTGCTTTTTTTGAGGGGGGGGGGAAGAGAAACAAGCATTTACAATCAAAATACATAAATCAAAAAGCAAACCATATATAAAAATAATATCTGAATATAATGCATGGGAACAGTATCAGAAACTACGAGAATTGGGAAAGCCACTGAGCTCAGAAAGTCTTTTTTTGCTGACCATGTATAATTTTCCCCGACTATGGGCTTAGTCTAACTCCAGAAAAGTTATAATAATAAATAATCCTTGCATTTGATAGTGCCTTATCACATCGTTGAGACGTCTCAAAGCACGTCACAGAATATACTGTAAAGTGTAGTGACTGAATATTTTAGTGGGTGAAACAAAAGTTGTGCAAAGGTCCTCCTTGTTTCCCAAGTTTATGGAGCAAAAGTTCCACATAAAGTTCTTTCTAATTTCTTTTAAACTTACAACTTCTGACCCGGTGTTTTGGATTGTATGAGATATTTCCATTATCTGTAACCAGCTTTACAACATTCCAGACTCACTCCAGATAGCTACCAGCAGTTGTCTTTTCAAAAACAGTAGTTGATTGATATTATTAATGGCTTTTAGCAAGAAGTATGTTCCACATAAATGACAATCTTTGAAAAGCTTGTCTCACATGAAGATTGTTAATAGTGTACTTTTGTCCTCCGTTTCTGCAATCACAGTTCAAATTGAAGCAGCTTGCTTACGTGAGTATTATCCACGTCTCTCAGCATTTTAAAGAGCTGCATCATTTCAATCACTGCATTTTCAATAAAAGCTAGTTCAGTTCTGAGAATTTCACCTTGTAACTTGAAGCCCTGAGACCCACACAGTCACTTTGCTCAGAATCCTCTCTGAATACATTAGCATCAATTCTGGAGACGTCTGTGGCCTCGAACTAGACCTAACTGAAAGGTGGTGTGAAAAAGACTCTGAAACATTGCTGGTAGGCGTAATTATAAAATAGCAAAATAAGCTTAAAAACCTTTTTTGCCAAATGAATAAAATAGTACTGACTGACAAAATATGGTATGTTCTATTGTACTAGCAACTATACAACGCTATCCTATGATTTGATGAGTTTTCCAGTTTTCCCCACTCCAATTCCACAAGTTAGTATTTATTAAGTGACCAAGTGAGGTTGGAAAACTATGAACATGTAAAGTTTACTTAACATTTTATTTCGGGCCACTGTGTTACTGGTACGGACATTAAGATAATACTATCTCTATTAGCTTAGAAAGTAATTTAAATGTTAGTGTACGTGCTCGTGACACAGTGACCCGAAATAAAATGTTAAACAAACTTTACATGTTCATAGTTTTCCAACCTCACTTAGTCAATACTAACCCGTGGAATTGGAGTGGGAAAACTGGATACTGTAAAAGCCACAAAATAACTGTTGTACATCTCATTAATACACGATTCAGGAGACAGAGATTAATATTGTAATAATAATAATAATAATCCTTGCATTTGATATAGCGCTTTTCACGTCGGGAGGACGTCCCAAAGCGCTTCACAGAATATACTGTAAAGTGAATTGACTGTATATTTGTGGGCGAACGCGGCAGCCAATTGCGCACAGCAATGTCCCACAAACAGTCGTGGATTGAAAATGACCAATTTATTATTGTTTTTGGTTTTGGAGGGATTATTATTAGGCTCTGTGTGGAGTAAGGAAACTTGCCCAAGGTTTCGCCCTCTGCCTGGAATTGAACTCAGGTCTCTCGCTTGCAAAGCGAGTGCTCTAACCACTGAGCTACAGGACTCCACACATTGTACAATGAAGGCTACATAAAGTAGATGAACATTAAAAACTCTGAAGCATTTAGCAACACACATCTTGAAAAGTTAAATTTTTTGTGAATGCAAATCAATTTTCAAGATTGTATTTCAGACTTGCTGTGGATTAATGAAAGTTCCTTCTTGTATATTATAATGATCCTTGTATTTGATATAGTGTCTTATCACATCTTCGAGACGTCTCCAAGCACTTCTCAGAATATACTCTAAAGTGAATTTACTATTTTTTTTGTGGGCAAAAAGGAACTCAACAACAAATTACGACCAAAGTAGGAACTAAGTTAAAACATAAGATAGTGTCCAGGACTAGCAAGAATGTACTTCTAGAAAACTAAGCATCATATTTGCCGACAACACTGCAAAACCTGGTTATATTTACATTTTTGCCCACTAAGCAGGAGCACATTCTTTCCAAATCACAAGCACGGTTGTGTTTGCAGTAGAAGTTCACACTGAAAACTGGGCAAAGTTTCAAAAACAGCAGCTGACGAGACCCTATAAATATCACAACTAGCATGCATACTGATTAATCAGATGTCAAAATCTATAGAGCTTATTCCCTATTCACAGAACAGCCCTACCTACACCATCTTTGTGCTGCTCAACATCAAGTGCACCTACCTATACCACCAGTATACAACCCTACATAAAGTATACCTGCACAATCCATAGGTTACTCTTATTTCAGAGTCTCTAAAATTGATTCTAATTCAGACAAGTCCATAATAATAATGTGTGTAAGGAGCAAAGAAAAAAAAAATCAACTAACCAAATATTTCCTTAAACTCTGGGGTAGTTGCTACAGCACATTAATACATTAATATTGTACATTAAACCACAAACTGAAAAATACGGCATAACTTTGAACAGAATAATTAATTTAAGATGCAAAAAAAATTAACAGCAACAACTTGCATTTATATAGCGCCTTTCACACGGGGTAGGATCTCGGAGAGCTTCACAGTGGCGGAGTCTGACAACAAGCCAGGGGGAGAGGAAGGCAACCGTGAGTAAGATCAAAAAGGAAGGTCTTTAGGGTGGAATTTGAAGGTGAGGAGGGAGGGAGCAAAGTGCAGGGATTGAGGGAGTGAGTTCCAGAGTTTCGGGGCGTAGTGGCTGAAGAATGGCCACCGAAGTGGAACAGAAGGCACAAGGGACAAACAGGAGGCCAGAGCCAGCCGAGCAGAGGCAGCGCAGGTGGTGGAGTGGGGCTAAGCAAGTCGGATAGGTAGGGAGGACAGAGGGCATGAAGGGATTTGAAAACGAGTGAGAGGATCTTGAAATCAAGAGTTGGCTTCAGTCTCATTTGTGTGTTGCAACTGATTCACCTTGGAGGTTGTGCAGAAACAGACATTCATAAATAGAAGAATGGGAACAATTTTAAACATCTTGGACTTTTTCAAAATTTGCCCTTAGGTCATATTAATATTAAAATTAAACTATGTAAGTTAGACATTAACATTTTATTCCACTAGATTTTTCAAAGAATGTTTTAACCTGGATTCTGTACTAGGCTGAGAGGATGCACAAACAACCATGTCTTTGCCAATGCCATCTGAGTCACCTGCCTGTAGGTTAGTAAAAGCACCCCAACCTTCTCCAAAACAGCTCATATGCTCCAAATGCACATATACCCACTTTGTAAATATTACCTCCCCATTACATGCCAAGCCCAAGCCAAGGGCAATCTATCTACTTCATTGAATGAATTTAATATATAGAAATTAATGTTTCTATGTGGTCATGAATGCAGAATTGAAGATAGATAATTGCTCACTGAAATCAGCTGCTAAAAACAACCAACCCTAAGCAAATAATTTTAAAAAAATAAGCAAATGAAGAGCGAGTTAATACAAAAGATATTACTGACCGAACAATTTGTTCCTATCCTTTAATTTAAAGCAACAGCTTTGGTATGACCTCTTCACTGCTAGTCTGACCACACGACTGATTGCTGGTCGGATCTTAATTTTGTAAACATTAAAGGGGTAAAATTCCTGGGTTTAGATTTACTGTATTAACATAGCATTAGGCAAATTCTTAAATATTGCACATCCATAATTTTGAAGCTAATATTCTCCAAGTTCTTTCAGTAAGCAGGAATCCGGTTGTTAGTCCAGGGATAATACCCCTAAAAATACCCAATAATAATTTGATCACTCAATCCTCAATAGTGGGACACCACTATGCGCAATTGGCTGCCACAAGTATTTTCACTTTACAGTATAGTTTGTGAAGCACTTTGAGACGTCCAACAATTTGCACAATTTTGAATTTGCGCATTCTGAAATACATTAATATATTATATCTAGACCACGGTGAAATTTCTACCCATGTATCGATAGTGTCTGGAGAGTTTGCAGTTCATTTCCATGATACGTCTGATACGATTGGTCAATTGGCCACATGCCAGTGAGGACACGTCCGATTTGGGTGAAGTTAGAAGCGAAGCTTGAGCTCTTGGTGAAGAGTCTCCTCTTTATGTTGAGTCCGTTTATAGGAATAGTGCAGTTTATCAAATAATTTTTTGCTGTAAATTGAGTATTCAATTAACAGAATTGTATATACCTTCAGTAAAGTTTGGATTCCTATCTGCCACATTCAAAGTGGCAACAAATGCTCAGTTACAACACTTTACAGTGTATCCTGTGAAGC